TATGATACACCTAGATAGGCATAGTAATTAACATTTTACAGTGGTATAAAATATCCGTAAAATCAATTATGTAACTTAAATAATAACATTACAAAATAAATTAACGTTATTAATAAAAAAAATGTAATACATACTCTAGAAAATATATATACATACATTCATATTATATACATGTTGAAAAATGATTTGGAAAATTTACCAACTATCCCAAAAATATGTTAATACAATAGAATAAGATAATTATTATAATATGTGACTTTCATAATACAAATTAACTATTCAAACAAGAAATCTGCGGTCATGTCTACATTCCTTAATTGTATATTCTATATGCGTGAATTTGGAACAGACAAGGTTCGAGGCAGACTAATTAAATTTTCATATCACCTCAAGCATTTTGCACAAGTAAACTAAATGAACCCACATATGATAATTTCCAGGCATACAGTATGTACTGTGTACAATAAAATTATCCACTAAGTAAAAAATTTATAATAAGTATGTTCATCATAACTTAGGTACGGTAATGATAAAGTTACTTATATACATTTTAGAGACTAAACGATTTGTTTATATTTTGTTCATAGTCCATGAGATCTGCTATATCCACTTAATAAATAGACTGTCACTCAATTAGTACGTTACACCTAAGAACAAGAAATTACATAGAAGGAATGATAAAATAAAACTGTAAATCTTATGGATGGCTCCTTTCTTCTTATGAAAATATAATCAGTAAAAAGAGGACGGAATACACCCTCAGTTGCTATTTTTCTCAATTCATAGCAGGCTAGAGTGTAGAAAGTGTTTGATATGTCAAATATTTGACAGTAACAAATTTTACATTACTAGATTATATATTCAACACAGTTTATGTAGAAAGTATGCAAGCAGGCTGTATCTGAATTTGGTAGGGTTATACGGCCGTATAACATTTTCTATACACTAGCCTGCTATGAATTGACAATTTTATCACTCCTATGTAATTCCTTGTTCTTAGCATTATACTAAAGATTCTTTGTTCTTAGCATTACACTCAGTGTAATTATCATTTGTTATCTAATATCTATGTCAATGTGAATATACAATAAAGTTTATAAAAACAAACATTTTTAAAAATTAAGTTACTTAAAAATTACGTTTTTTTATCACGTTAGTTTGTTTCTGACTGCATATTAAAAGAATGTATTTAAATCGATTTCATTCTTATTTTTTGTATTGGATCTCCCTCATTAACGTGTCGACTTTAAAAATTCCTTTTTCATTTGTCTATCTAAGTATAATATAAATTTAATATAAAACACTTCTAAGGACAGATTCCCTTATATTGTCTACCTATCTGAAAATTTTCTAAAATATCCTACACTATCCTGCAATCTATAATCTCATATTACACAGATTGAAAAATGAATGTTTCTGACAGGTCTCCGTACCTTCCCTATCCGAAGTGATTGCATTTTAATTTTCGTTACAGAGAAAGCGTTATCGCCATCTATCGTATTAGATAGTAATAAAGCCGGTAAGCTTGTAATCTCTGCATTGCAATAAGAATTTCTATACATTTATTTTTTCTCTCATTTATTTGGAAGTCTCTTAGTTCTTTTCGATTCTTAATTAAATAATATGTCAGCATTTCCAAACAAGATAATACATACATAGTTTTAAAAATATTTTTTACTAAGTATTTATTTTGATATTGTTCTTGAAGGTCAAGAGTTTTAACTTAGAGAGCTACAGATGTGTTTTAACCATCATACTCGTTATTTATTCAATTATGCAATTGCTACATGCACGTTCAACAATACCCAAACCTTTACTATTCGAATTATTATGATAAATTAACTTTAGAATCTTCATTAAACTTCTTAATCCGGTGTTAATTTTGGCAAAATATTTTACAGATAAACAAAATTATGTACATATTATGTTAAAACTTTGCTTCTTAAATATCAAAGTCCGTTGAAAGTAATATAAGGAAATAGGATGATAATAGGTAACATGAGTAAAATATATATACAAAAAAGTCAGGTGGAAGTTATTTTCGTAACTAGCTGCAGCATTACATACTAGACATCGGTAAACCTACATAATAGTCTGGCTGACGACTTATCTCTAGTGTAGTTACAAGTTTGTTCAATGGAGTCCTCTGAAACATGGAGTAGTTTCCGATTTAGTGATTATAGATTCATAAACTATTGCGCATCGAATGAGGCTACAGCGCTGTTGACAACTTAAAAGTTTCCCTCTAATTTTAGAAAGTCATAACGTATACTGGGATTTTAGGACAAAGAAGTTTAATGTTTTCAATAGTCGATTATTAAAAAAAATTATATAGTGTTATTTTATCGTGGCATCGTCTTTTTCTCCACAATTCTGTAACGTATAATGGAAATGGTATTCGCACAGCAAACAAAAATGTTCAGTAATTAATAGTAGTAATTCAAAGTCTACAATAGATCTGAAAATTTAGATTGAAAATAATGTTGAATAATAAGTTAGAATTTGACAAATTATATTCAATATTATTTTGAAAAGGTCTCTGATATGGTGATTAGAAATGTGATTCTTTGTAAATCGAAGTAGCTATATAAACAAAACTTACCCACTACCAATATTTAGGTAGCTGCTTCTTCTTTCATTATACAATATAATACTTGCATGTCATAAATGTTGATGTCAGCAAATATTGTTTACAATTTTTAAAAAATATTCAGGATTGTGAAATTAGTTTACTACTTGTGCCCCCCTCCCCTCTTGAATTGGGGTAATAATGATACATATGAATATATAAACAAAAGTCTATTTATTTTTAACTAAATTTTATGCAGCTTGTTACATCTTTTGTCTATATTCGTTGTCCTGTCTATTTTTCACTTATATTATTTCTTAACATTAACAAAGTACATTTATTACTTGTATTTAAATTACGAAATCGCATATCTACATGTAAACTTTGCTTTGCAATAAGAAAAAATTTACTCCGCAAACAAAGACGACTGCTTCAATCATCATAAAATTAATATAGGACCACTAAGCTTCTTCAAAAGGGGATCGAATTGGCTATACCTACCCTAGAATAATCTAGAACCCACGCCAGGTTTACTCGCCCCGAATGCATGAACAGCTTTCAACTATGCGCAAAAATATGTGTAAGAACACACATACACTTTTTTTATAGGCCCATGGAAAGTATTTAAAGTATGCCAATATATGGGACCAACATAGGAGTTTACCCTGTCGATTTCAAAAAGAATTTTAAAAATTGGTACAGGAGTAGCAACGTTATTGCATGACATACGAGTAGTCGGAATAAAAAAAAATCTGATGAATTGAGAACCCTTTCCTTTGGGAGGCTCGTAAAAAGAAATTGCACTAAGTAAAAAGAGTGTAGCGCGTCCTTTTTTTAAATTAAATATAAAGAATTATCTTCGAAATTTATTCTGTATAGCTATAGGATTCCAAAATATAAACTGTCGAACATAGGTCTTGGAGCTATTTATTACATACTTTAACAAGTTTATGTTAGGCTACGGTCATTGCCAAAAGCTATTATTTTTTTTATATGTAATTTCATCAATGTTATTTAAGTACAAACGTAGTTACATAAACATTATAGTGTATATATAGGTAGGTATATAAACATATCTATTATTTCGTTGAATTACGCTATATTTAGTGGCACTCGAACAATAAAATTATATTACTCCTATGGTAGAGCTAATGTTGTAGAACAAATTCAATTTTCTTTCATTGTCGTAGATACCGACCGACTTCCAAAAACGAAAATAAAATGAAGAACGTTTGAATAATATATTTAATGCCAGACTTATCTTCATATGAGATTACAATTTTATAAGGCGAGTTTTTGACATAATATTCTAACAATAAAAGTTTTACGTTAGCTACGTTATTAACTATTACCAAGAACCAACAGCTAGATAACTGTAAACTTATAAGGTGTGTAAAAGTTTTTATTGCCCTTAATAAAAGGACGAAATAAGTTCAAATAAGAAAGTTGATGATACAGAAAATAAACGTTTGCCGATTATTGTTAAAAATGGATATATTTGTATAAGTAGGTACTTACAATTTGTATACTACGTTCAATTGGCTAAAAATCGAGTGAACATTTATTACTGCAGAAGAGAGCTGGAGAATCGATAACAATTCAATTCTCAAATGGAAAAGTACACAATCAAAGTCTAGATAGCGAAAAGGAATATAGAATGGATCCAACTGATTTCTTTTTTAACAAAACTTCCACAATGTCCCACAGTACAATAAAATTTTAAAGTCAAAGAAATAAGCTCATTATATGGTTGCAATTGTTAATTCAGTCAATTACATGGGTTGAACAAAGTTTCTAAAATGAATAAGAAAAAATATAATAAAGGGAAATAAAAATTATATTCTCAAAATATGCATTTTGCATATGAAGAAACTTATTTTCATAACATTTATTCTACTGTATTATATTTGATACATTCGATAACTTCTTCTCCATTCTTCAAAACTCTTCTGATAAAGATTTGAATGATAGGAGTAGAAAGAAATCATAAGGTGCCAAGGTGCCAAATAACCTAAACTTCTTCCCTTTTAACTCTGTTGAATTAAAAACAAAACTCAATATCACTAAACCTGCAAATGGAAAGAGGCAACCACATTTAGTGTAATAAAAGTACGAACAAATTTTTTCCCGTCAAAACAGTTCTATATTCGCGGTATTTTACAGCAATTCTTATAACGAAGGATATGACTTATTCATGTTCTCGAAGGTAGACGCAATAACTTCGAAACCCTTAGATCTCGAGGCGTATAATCAACGAGGCGGGACAATAACGAACGTTCCAGATCTCTTGATAACATTTTAACCTTCGTAAAATTAATTTGTAACTTTGTTCAGAAATTAAACACTGTTCATTGATGTAATTATATATATATATATTTATATTTTATCAGGAAATGTGTCTCGATTAAACTTTTGCAATATTTTGAAATAACTATTTAGCTATCGGAGTATAAATTTGCCAAATATTATTCGGCAGTTCTCGTCCGTAAACATCTAAACAAGTCTTCATAATGGGAGCACAAATCTGAAACATAATTTCTAAGTAGGCACCAGTGCTTAAATAACCATAAGAATAAAGGTTAGGTAGAAGTGACACTCCCGCGAATTCAATAATAATACAGTTTGTGATTTTATGGCGTCTTTGAAAAACATAGACGTAGCATATCGTACATGCTGACAGACTAATAATGCAGTCACAAAAACGAGACAAGAGCTTGTCATTCATACATAGGATAGCTATAATAATCCAAATGTTTTTTCAATGTTTTTAGTACCTTGAGTCCAATAAGATATTACGTTTAGCCTTCAGCAGCATTTACATTTATGTCACTGTTGCTACCTATTTAACCAAAAAATGTTAAATATAATCACATAACTATATTAAATAAAGTTCATGGATCATAATTTTAATTAGTAATAATTATGTCATAACTATACATATAATACATAATAACGATACATCGATGGTAGGAACTCCATTGAAACTTATTAATTTCTGGGTATTCACTTAGCACCCCCCCCAAATTGCCTTGCAAGAAATGTTGTATATATTGTATATTACACATATGTCTATGTCTTATATAAGTCATTAGTCATCATCGTCACTTGTCCTGGTAGAGAGATCGCCCTACACTACCTTCTATGCAAGGTCGCCACCTATGAGTATTAATTTTTAATGTTATAACGAATTGATTATATTTATTTATATATAACAAAGTAATTTGTTAAATTTGTGACAACCCATTGGAGTAAGAGGAAGTGGAGTACGTTTTGTCGGCACCGGTACGCTCATAAAAGAAAGCAGGTATATGAGTGTCGATTCTACCTAAGGATTTTATAAAAGGAAGATATTTTTTGGAATTTATATCAAACAAAATTTAAATTTATATTAGAGACGAGATTAATTAAAAAAAAAATTATCAAAATTACATGTTTGGTGAGTAATGCTCCGTACTCGTTAAGTAGGTTGGGTAGAATAGGTTACGGTTTAGCGATACTTCCAAATATGATTTTTTCTATAAAATCCTTACATTTACCATCTCATGTTTTTCCAATTAAGAAATAAAAATTCTAAAATTTACCAATGTGCAAGCTAACAGTTACGATATAAAACTTCTTGAAATTTACGAAAATCACTCAAATGTGATTTTTTGCGTGAATCAAATAATATAGTCAGTTTCGGCTGATCATTTTATGAAATACTACTACATAATGTGATCAATTCTAAGATCTAGCTACGGCCTATTTAGTAAAGACAAAATTTACCTACCAACCCGCGACCAACAGGGAAGTGAACTTTCAACAAAATCGGTTTAGAAATTAATTTCTTAAAATTATTTAATATCAACTTAAACTGATATCAAATAATTACTGCTAATTTTGTTCGCGATATGTATATTAATATACTAGTGAATACGTTTATGAATAATAACACAATTTAACGTATTACTTTTCCGTAAAATCCCATCGCCCAACAGCCAACGTTTATTCCTAAATTAACATTCGTCGCACAATGATTTATCACGACATCTGTGTTAACCTGAAAATAAAGACGCTCAGTTAATTAAATTCCCCCAAATATGAATTTAATGCGTGATATTTGAGAATTTCGTCGTTTTCTTGTCTTCAGTCTGCTTTGTATTATTTAATTACGAAGATAATTTGGTTTCATCTTGACTTCAAAGAAGCTCAACGTTTACAAACAAGTACTTAGAAATTTTCTTTTAGATTCACCGTAATCGAAGCTAAATATAATAGGTAAAAAAGTTAATAATAATTATCATGATATAATGCTGCTAGGTGTAAAATTCGCCATATATAGGTAATTTATGATAATGTGCATAATGTATAAACTAAACATAAATGCTATTATTACTAGCAGTGCCCGAGTTTGCTACGATAACTAACAATGTAACCCATTTGGGACGTTATTTATTAAACTGTCTATGGGATATATTTTAAAATAAATGTGAGGTGCATTTAGTTTAACTATGAAACTTTTATCACAATCAGCCCGGCTGTTTTTATGTACATTAAATATACAAATAGATAAACCGGCAAATACAAACAGAGATTTTTTTTAAAAAACCTATATTATTTGTTATATCGCATTTAATATGTACCCATAAATTTTATTTCTAAAAATATTTAACATAGGTACAGTTTTAGTTTTGTTATAATTTTTTATTATATTTTATTCTATTTTTATTATTTTACTTGTCATTATCCTTGGACGTTAAATATCTATATTTAGCAGTGGACGGTAAATGTAAGAAATAATCATGACTTAGATTATGATTATAGTAAAATGTTTTTAAACATTCAGATTATCATCAAAAAGTAGATACTTCGTAGAAGTTTTTGTGCAGCTACGCAGCGCTGCGAAACTATGAAGCCATATCATTTTACGATTACGGAGTCAATAAGGTAACTAGTATGTCATACTATTATATAAATAAGTATCTTTTAGACCTCCGTATAATTACTTGATGACTATTATCTTGAATTATATAAATTTAAATAACTTTTTGTTATTAAATATAAGCATTTTTACAAAAAAGTAAAACAGAAATGTATACTTTTTTAAATAAAAAAACCGAAATTTAACTCACTGACTAATCGTGAAGAAATAAACCCTTAAAGGCTAAGGTTCAATTATGAAAGTATTGTTAGAAATTCTCACGAGAATAGAAATGGGATTAGACCAAATAGCAGAACTGATTTTTTTTTTTTGTATTTTATAAATTCAAAATGGGGCTAATTTAAATATATAATGATTATATTTCCTTCGCTAATATTTTACATCAATGAGTATCAGGTACACTCACCTGTTTATATTTCAATTAGCATAACTGTAATAATATTAAAAATCTCACATTAATAGGATTCCCTTCCTGTTCGAAACGGGTAATATTAGGACTTTGAGTCGGCAACACACGCCAGCGTGTATTCGATACTGCGTGCTTGCTCAGGTATAAAGGGTACATTCCGCAAAGACCGGGGATCGGGTTTGGATCGTACCTTATGTACAGTGGCTGAAATACAATGCACCTTTTACCAATACCTACCTATTTTACAGGAAAAGGTCTTATTGACATGAATGGAATTTCGATCCCTTGTAAGAAATATTGCGTGTCTTACGATGATTGGATTTTCTACCACTTGGTCACATGAATTGTAATTTGTGTAACAGATCTTAATACATTACTTAATTAAATTAATTAAATAATAGGCTTAAAGAAAAACGCTAAATTATTCTACCTTCTTTTTGACACTAGAAGAAAGGGTTAGAAGAAATTCTTGATTATATTTAAGTAGTTCATTCTCACGCTTACAGTAATCCGAGCTAGTAATAATGAAAGTACTCCTTTCTGCCGGCTGCAAATCGGCCAATCCTACCAAAGAACAGCCGTCCTCTAATTCTTGAGAATAATTTATATCATTAGACGATATACGACCACCGAGTAGTAGACCTTTTTTATCTTTAACTGGCGGATCTGATGCTGTAAGCCAAAAATATTTCTATATAACGAAAAGAAAGTAGTTACACCTACGATTCTCTAATAAACGAATAATAATAGACGTTTAATGATATTAACGCCAATAATATATAACCTGGTACGTGTGGCGCCAATAATGATATCTTAGCGCCAAAGCTAATAGTACCAGAGCTTTGAGTAAGTACTGTTGGTTTATTTAAGTTCTCTGTCATTTTGCGAAATCGTGCCAGCATCAAATCTCCTTTTTTCATTTGCTCCAAAAAACTATTTAATTTGTACTGTAATTTTAAAATAATATAATGAAATTAATCTTGTATATGTTAATTAATAGTAAGCTATAAGGTATAGTAACTTGATAAAATTGTAAAAATACTAACTAGTCTATTACGTTACAAAAAGTGATAAACGCTGGCAAATCTTACACTAAAAGACTCTCTCTTACCTCCTCCAATTTAGTGGTTTCATACCAATTGCCGAGAAGTACACGATTGCAATAAACAATCCCTTTATCTTCGTCCATTTTAGATATTTTCTGCATTGTATTGAGAATTCAAAAAGATAAAGTTAGAAAAACTTGGCAAAATATATTTTTATGAAAAATTATATTAAATAATAAAGTCAGCGCCGTTCATGCCATACGAATATGTCGTCATAGTGATTATTTATTCTATGAATGACATGATATAGCCTGACTAAGGTATTCTTAATCTGTACAACAATAGAAGTAAATAGTTATTTGACAATTTACAATAGTTAGTACTAATCCTGGATCTATGGAACCTACCTACTGATCATTAAAATTATATCAGTTGTAGACAGAGAATACCAGATTCGATCCTTATTCGTTGATATAAATAGTAATTAGTATGAGCATATAGCTTTATCTACAGTCCCCCAATATCATTTTTAAATTTAAATAAAAGACACTATAGAGCAAAATTTAAAGAAGCCTTTTATGTAATCAAATAATAATATATGTGCTATACAATCACATAAATAGCCAGAAATTACAGATACCAAAAAATATAAAAATAAAATTAAAATTAAAAGAAGGTCGAACCCGCACTATAATGCCGGTCTCTGATCGTTCTTGTTCCTATCTTGATCTGGTAAAATATTATTACGTAAGAAAAAACCTGTGTATACTACAGTCCAGTCCCGTTCTATTCCATTCCATTCCAGTCACAATGAATTTCAAACTGTTTTTACTGGCTATACCGTGATCAGTCCGAGAATTAACTGAGACCGGTATTATAGTGTGGATCCGGCCTAAATAACATTTATTAATAATTTTAAACAATTATAATATCAAAATCGTCAAAAAGTAAAAATTGTTATAAAACACTTATTGCTTGGTCTTCGTTTCGACGTCACTCACCAAAGTGAAAATATTCTCAGCAGTGTACCTCTTATGAATATCTATATAGTTGCGGCAAGTGACCCCACATTCCTGTAATAATTCAATTAATATTAACAATAACAAATACCAGACTTGCCCTCTACCATGTTTTGTTAATTTTAATATGCTCATCGAAATGTCAGCTTATGAATGTCACTATCATCACAACGGTACCATTCGATCTTCTAAAAATGCCTCTGACTATACCATTATGAATTATAGTCGTGAATATATATTTATTTTTATGTACCTACCATCATATACAGTAGAATCTCGATTATCCAAATTAGTAATGAAGAATAATCATTACTAATTTAGAAATAGTATTGTATCAATTGGATTTTTTATATCGTATAATATAAATGACGTACGTAAAACCCTTTATATAGTAAAAAAATAATAAAATTTCATTATTGTTTAATTTCACTTTGAAATTGATTATTATATATATTTTCGATTATATGGAATATCCTTGGTTTTATTTGATTCGGATAATCGAGATTCTACTGTACCATTTATATATTGTCATTTTTTACATACCCATATAGAAATATCGATGAGTATATTTTTTGTATTTTAGTGTGAAGGTTTTCATACATACTCGTACAACAATTACATAAGTATTTTTCAACAGGAATTGGTAAACAGTTTATATTAGAGAGCATATATTATTAAGGTAAAGCTACAAGCTGTTAATAAAAAATAATAATAACATATTTTTTGTAACTTTATCGCTTTTAATTTTCATAATAAAAAGCCATACGCTATTGGTTTACTCTGGCTCTTTATTACCACGAGGCTTTTGCCAAAGTGATATTTACTCAGAATTGTATAGATTATCGTTTACTGATTCAGCGATGGATTATTATTGTATTTACAGAGTATAAGAATATTATGTTATTATATATAATGTTAGTAAAAATATGTAAGTCTTTAATAGGTAGGTTTATGCGTTGTTGATATTTTCTTGTGTATCTGTGAATTCCATTTAATATACAATAATAATGTATTTCACGCCTACAATTTGATGTGTGACTAATGAAAAATTTTATAGAAATATTAAATGCATTAAAATAAATTTTATTATCTCCATAGCTCTTTACTACTCCTTTTGCTTTGTTTAGATCAAAGTACAATATCATCAACACGCATATGACACCCCTACTGCTGCAGGCGTCCATAGGCTACAGTGACCGTTTTCCATCAAACGGACCATATGCTTATTTGCACCTTCGTATTATAAAAAACAAAAAGATTAAAATGAACTGCCCTGAAAAATGGCTATATAAGTATAGAATAGAAGACGTAACTTATATCTGCCAGGTTATTAAAAGTTCTCTATTCTCTGTCCTTTTGCTCATGTATAAAATTTTACTATCAATAAAATTATTAGATAATGTACATATATCTTACCGGACCAAAAAATGTTTGCATCCAATTCTGATTCATAACACACAAACATTTATCAGTAACGCAGTTTTTCACAATGACCTTGGCACCAGTCTAAAAAATAATGAGGTATCTTTTAAGTATCTATAAATAATAATAATAATTATCATATCAACTGTTAACTATCCACTGCTGAACATAGACCTCCCTCAAAAGGACAGTTTTGCCAGTAGTTGCCACGCTCAGCAAGCGAGTTGACAACCGCAGTTAGGCTTTGGGGATGTTTTAAAAAGAACTCTGCTTCCCATCTCACGACCTTTAAATTTGCTTAGTCGTCTCTTACGACATCCGCAAGAAAGCAAGGAGTGGCTCATTTTGTGCCGGGGCCACACGGCAAATATTTTTTTATACTATAAAAAGAAACTTTAGTAATGGATATATTTTTCAAAATAAATTACCGTATTGTTTAAAAAAATTCTACAATATAAAAATCATATTCTGATAATAAATAATACATGATGTACACTTGGAATATTTTATAAATTGTCTTTTTAAGAGACTTTCGAAGACAGGTTTTCAATTTCTTGTATATTTAGTATTATATTACACGACATCTTCACTAAATATTCTTCTTGCAGTCGAAAAAAACTTACTCCTTTGTTAGTTTCATAATAATTTTGTAATAATTGTCATCATAATTGATTTAACTGTTTTATAAAGGAAATTCTATATTGATAGCTAAGTATATGCAATATATACTGATTCACACTGCTTCACCCGCGTGAATTAATATATAAAGTATCATATGTGCTAAGTTATGATACGAGTATAAATAACCTGCCTGTTTATTAAATTACAGTGACAATTATACATTTATCCATCGTTACAAACTTTCATATTTATAATATTATTAATAAGCTCTACATTAATTGTTCCTTTCCTTTCCCGTGGGTGGCATAAGAGGCGACTAAGGAGGGCGAGGAATGGACAGCAGTGTCCCTTTTAAAACGTCTTTAAAAGGACAAAACTCCCCTTATGGGGAAGGTTTATGTCCATCAGTGGACAGTTATTGGCTGAAATAATAATAAAATAATAATAAAGCATAAGAGATCTAATGTAACCTCTAAACTCTTAACCATCAAAGCGACTACCCGTGAGATTTTTTTGTCCAATTCGAAATGGTAATTAAGCTGATGGTCCGTCTGATAGAAAACGGCAACCGTCGCTTATAGAAGTGATCAACACCATGGATATAGCAGAATACATTGTTTCGTTTAAATTGCCATTCCTGAAGAATAAGATGTTATGATAACTGTAAATTCACTGCCATAAGACGTAATCGGAAACACACCGTGAAGTTACCCAAGCAGACGACTTTTACAAAATCTTTCTTTGGACTTGCCATGAAAAAGTTTACCAAAATAAGGCACGGCACGTCAAAAAGTTTTCAATAGTATGATTATATTTATAATTTTCCACCGAATATAACACCCTGACCATGTCGAGAATGCACATCTTACTTCTCTATCATATGGTGATAATAAATAGTACTTTAACATGAACGACAACTTATAAAACCCTTAGACTACGGTTTACTTTCCATCTAATGGGCTGTTTATAACTTCTTAGCTATTTCCAACAGTATAAATAAAGATTTGGCACATAAAACACACACACGTGTATTCTTCAATCTACTAAACTCACTTGAAATAAACATAACATGAATAGCACCATGGGCTCATATAACACAATAATATACACATATTCCCTCATGGACAAGATATTTTATGCCTCTACTAATATCAGTTATTATTGGCTTTCCTACTCTTGTAATTATTTATATTATATCGGTCATATTCATTATTAATCATAGCCTGGGGCTGCGATTTAGTCCGGATATGGGACCTGGTTTGGGATGCGATCGGATATTATGATTATGGTGAACTCATCACACGGCAGTAACGTAAGCTATGATGTTATACTGCGTCACAGTATTAAAAATGTATAAAATAGGCGATTCACACACTACTGTACTAAATTTCATTGATAAATTAATTATTAATTCTGAGATATTCAAAATGAAAATTTTGTGCCGCAATAATAATTAAAAACGATAATAAAATTAATATAGAGTAAATAATTATTAAAATCAATTCAGAATTAGCGATGACAACATACCTATTCCGAACTCACATCTCATCGTAATATAAATAAAAAAAACACGGTGGAATTAAAAAAACAACATCTTTCTCCTTAAAGTAGTCACTTAAAAAGGAATTCTCACAGCTTGATAATAAAACAATGCACTAACAACGTTTCTCAAAATGTATAACCTTCACAGGACTTCCAAGACCCTCAAGTCGATCAGTTGGTAATAGAGGCATAGTGGTCCAACGACAGTTGCTGTCTTTTGTAGCACTCAACCGGATCGGCATATGATCTGGTGGACCGGGGGTGGCCTCAGGCATGAAACGGACGTAAAGTGGAGGTGCCTGCATAAGTGTATAATTTATAGAATACAATGGTTCCTATACACTGGCCGTAACCATTTAATACCCGGACCTGATTTGCAAAATTGATCATGTAAAGATTTTTTTTTTTATATCTACTCTAAATTAATGGTAGCAAGAAATATTTTATTTTTTATATAATACTAGGGTATCTACAAAAGAAAAAGTTTCAATGTAAGGAATCTTTAACAATATATCTGTTTGGCGGCAAACAAATATTGCTATGAATATTATTAAAGTATATAATTTATTTATAGAACCTCAACTGTAACATGAATAGTGTACAATAATATAACAAATGTTTTGCTTACATCCGGATCTCCATAATTTTCAGCTCTGAGCAAGAATTCGTCACCAAAGTTCATTTTTTCTCCATGAATAGATTCATTTTCAGTACTACAACATTAACACAATAATTAATCACAATTGAACATGAACAAAAATTTTTTTGTTATACAAATTTACAGGATACAGAGGAATAACACTCGAGTTCTCAGGAATGGCAACGCATAGGGGTATCATGGGCGAAACAGTATACTCTGTAATGCCCATGGTACTACACATGTCTATAGGCGACGGTTATCACTTTCCATCAGATGGGCCGTCGGCTTGTTTACTATTCTAAGTTGTATAATATTAATAATAATAAAAATATTTTAAATAGTATATAACCTGAGTATAACGAAAGTGTTTCGGCAACAAGGAGTTGTAATTGGTGAAAGTGTCATGAGGCATCCATCGTTGATATTCTGCATGTAGTCCACTTGCCTCTCGCTTACAAGACTCGATAGTGCCAACCCATATTGTGTCTTATCAGTTTCGCTTTTAAACTTAGCTGTAATGCATAGATGGTAATTGTAACTACATACTAGGGGGGAAAGAAAGAAAAACAAAAAACATTTTTAGTAGTAAAGTCATTAAATGACTCCATTCCAAACAATATGCTTTATTGAGTCGACTTCCACGTGGTCTCCCCGAAAACCATTATGGTTAATTTTTGAAGATGGTCGACTAACTTTTTTACATCCTCACCTATCATTCCTCACAGATGACCCGTTAACGTATACAGATAGTGCAGGCAGGTCTACCAACCAACTAAAAATATATATGTAGATACTAATTAAGAACTAACAATGGGACAGACAAAAGCAAATCAACCGAAGTAGTACTATTTCATAGGTGCAATAACAGAAATAAAATAGCATAGCTTTACTACAACTATCCGTACCGTGGAGGGGACTGTTTTTTTTTTTTAATGGGTGATAATGGAATGGTAACCCCGCCCGCGCTGACGGTATATACTGACGGGGCACCAGTGAGGGATGATAGGCGAGATGAAGCAGGTCAGTTAGGACATGGTTTTCGGGAGGAACCGCGATGACGTCGACCTAATAGGGTTTATTGCTAGCAATATTGTTGCTAATCCCAATTACTAACAATTTCTTTTCACCCGGAAGGAACTGTTTGAAATTTCGACCCCATTTCCTGCCATCAGTATATATTCCTGTCAGTTTGACCTCCATACGATCTCCCTAGAAGCCATCGTAGTTAATTCCTGGTAATCATCCTTACCTGTTATCCCGAATTGGTATCCTGCTAACGTAAACCAATAGAACAGGCAGAGATACTATTTAATTTTGATCCATGAAAAAACTACTCATACGAGTTCGAAAATTCCCCTCCACTGGAATTTTTAGTAAAAGGAGAAATTCATACGTTTTGAAGGAAAAGCATATTAACGCATACGAGTTACATTAAACCACCACCATTACACAAAAAAACTCCACACGGGAAATTCCTAAAGTATGATTGAACATATATATTACTTATTATTCAGATAATCTTATTGTCATTGTTAATAATTTATTAAATATTATAATAGTGCATGTGGTGTTCGCCTGTAAAAGACTTTTACATTAGGCAAAATTATTTTTTGTGTTATTAAGTTGCATGTAAAATGTAAAAGTTGTATGTGAACCTTATTAAATAAATAAATAAATATTACCTGGCATATCAGAAGCCACTAATTGTACATTAAAACCGAACAGCACAAATGTACCACTTATTGCAAGGGGCCTCTGCAACAATTATCAATAAATACTCGTGTAAACGTTGCTATTATATTTATTCTATATAATAGCAATTCTGTCTACCATGTTTAATTATATAATAATGTGAAGTTTTCTTAATAGCTATAGTTAGTTTTTTTATACAACTTAAAATGACAAACAAGCTGACGGCCTACCTGATGGAGAGTGGTATCCGTCGCCTATAAACATGAATAGTAGCATAGACATAACAGAGTATAACTGCGTCGCCCATGATACCCATTATACGTTGCCATTCCTAAAGACTAGTTCTACATATACGTAAATAAAAGTATTTTTGTTTATTGATAATGATTATTTTTACAAGTTTTTTACAAGCACTACTATATTCATGAACAATGTTGTGCATCGTTCTTACATTGTTCTTAATTTTCTTCTGTTCTCTTTATTTGTTTAACACTATCTTAAACACTCAATCTTGTGTAAGCCTATTTAATACACCAAATTTATTATTAAATAGCCAGTATCACATAGTATTAAATAACCAGCCATCTAAAAATATATAATTTCTAAAGATGCCAAAAATTTAGTACTTTAATATAATATATACATATATATCAAGATTTAAAGACAATCACCTCAATCGGTTTGTTTATCGTGTAACATATACATAATAAACTTTTAAAATCATGTATTCTCTACAACTTCCAGTATTCTTTATCTGGTTTCTCATTAAGAGTATCTTAACTAAAAATGGACGTGAAATAACTAATTTCACGTCCTTTTTTTACACACCTACAAACACTTGCAGCATAGTTTAAACCTAGACTGGATGAGATCAGAAGCCCTTGGAGTAACCATTAAATAATGCAATAATACCATCCATGTTACCTATCAACTAAAACAGTGATTTTTAACCTTTTAATGAGAAAGAACTTTTGACAAAATTTCTAGTTTGTCATTTACCACCAACTATTTGGACTCCAAACAGTAAATGTAAATTAATATAAAGGGAATATTAATATTAATATTTATTCCATAATTAAAACACACATAACGCATATACAGTCCGCAAACCACCGGTTAAGAAACTCTGTATTAAACTTATTTTTAATAATATTCTGAAATAATCTAACTTCTTTCAGTAAATTACTGAACAGTGTTCGCGATCTTTGCAGCACCAATTCGCGCCTGTCACGTTTTCGCAAGAAAAGTTTGAACTCCGCCTGTAAATTATAATAAAATTTCTGTAAAAAAAAAACACTATTCATAATTTACCGAATCTAAAATGTCAGTCTCTAGACTTATTATCATCATTATATTAGCCGTTAATTGTCCATTGCCAAACATGGGCATTCTTCTTGAAGAGTTTTACTAGAAGTTGCTACTAATAGAATCGAACATTTTGCTCCAATCATGAATAGCATTAGTGTGCCTGGAGCCTGAATTTTGTGGATCGTCTACATTCAATAATGTGTAATGGAAAAGTACCTATATAGATCCATTGCATCACTTTAACATTAAAGTGACTATGTTGATAAGTCGAATAACAAAAGATTGAATGATGTATGGTATGCAACATGGTTAACCCGAAAACTACCTAATTTAATCAACGCATCAAAAGTTAAAAGCTTTAGTCCCGAATTTATACTTTAATAGTTATCTAGCATATATTTTGGTCTTCTTCGCTTTAGTTTCCACTCACATTTGACTTATTAGGTGTGATTCATGAACAATATTAATACGTAAAAGAATATTACCTACATACCTAAATTAGACGCCTACATCACTTTGTTATTTAACTAAGCTTATTATTTATATAGAAATAATGTGGTACCTCATTTTTAAGTCTTTCTTCGCTCCAATTTCCAATTAAAACCGAATTATTATAACTCATGGTATATTATTAAAGAATCAAAATTATTTCATTTTGACATTTAACTAAATATAGGTAAATATCCTTATTCGGCGAGAAAGTAGGTATGTACCTATATAATGTTACTTTTTTTAATGGGTGAAAATAAAATAATAACCCCGACGGCGCTATCGGTATACACCGATGAGGCACCAGTGGAAAATGATAGATAAATGCAGGGCAGTTGGCCCACCATGATAAATTTGACAAGAATTAACCATGATGGTTTCCAGGGAGAAACGCGTGGAGGTCGACCTGAAAGGGTTCATTGCTAGCAATGGGGCTATTACACCTCAATACTAACAACCCCTTTACCCCTGTAATAATGTTACTGGAATCCCGCTTCGTATTTTGGCGTATATGAAAGTACTGCGCTAGGAATCATTATATCAGCCTTTAACTGTCCACTAATTCTTTAAAATTTTAAATTGAACTATTTATTAATTATTAATATAAATAATTAATAAATAGTTACTATATTATATTATAATAATACTAATTATTAATTTTAAATTGGTCTATTTAACAATTTCATGTAAGCGCGATTGTATAGTTTTTCCTAAGAGCACACACTACAGGATAATATACCTTTCTAACAGTAAAAGAATTGTCAAAATCAAACTAGTAGTACCGAAAATTACCCTGAACGTTGGAATTCATAAACTTTACTTTTTTATAATAAAAATGTAATAATAAATATAAGCATAAATCACCGTGTAATGGAAAAACAGTTCTTATTTTATACTGTGATATTATAATCTATCTTAGAATCCGTTACGTTATATTACGTCCATGATTTCAATAGAATCTAACAAAAATGTAAGCAAATTAATAATCGCTTCGACCATAAGCGTTTCATTCACTGGTCATCAATAATCGATTAATTAATTAAATTATGGGGATAAATTTAATGTTTTGATTTATTGTAAAATTATTTACATATAAAAAATTGCTAAATTACATATGTATATATAAGAACAATTTGGTCCCTTCAAAAAAATTTTATCACAAATGTAAATATTTACTTTTGAAAAAAAAATACCTTTCACCTTTAAAAATAATTAAATTGTACCTTTGTTTTTTTTAATACGTTTGGTCCGTAGTAGAACAGGCTTAGGTCGGAGACTATGCTGCCTAGTCTTCAATATGATAAATTGTCTGGAATTTTATTTTTCTAATGTTGTAATTTTGTATTGTTCATAAGTACCGCCATTTGTTTTAATCCCTACTCCCAAACCCGTAGATACAATCCTTAATCTATACCCTAAGAACAAGGAATTACAATATTTTTTTATATTACTAGACTATATATTCGACACAGTTTATGTAGTATCTTTTGTCCTCTTTTTACTAATTATATTTCTATAAGAAGAAAGGAGGCAACCATATGATTCAGTTTTTATTTTATCATTCCTTCTATGTAATTCCTTGTTTTTAGGTTGTACCTACTTTTGTACCTACTATGATCTCACTCTAACATATTATTATGTTTTTATATTAGGGAAAATTCATAGGTACCATTTCTCAAAAAATGTCTCTAAAAGTTTATTTTAATGTCACAACGAAATTTTTATTGTAAGTACCAATATGAATTCAATTTCTAATATACATTATAACAGAATCATACAAAAAACATGGTAGATATAGAAAAAAAGCCTTATTTTGTCCAATATTTAATTCACCGCGCGAATTCTGTTATCCCGTTCTAAGGTATTTAAAAAACTATTCTACCTAATTTACATTATTGTTTGTCATAGATAATGTTACCATATTTGGTACTTTTTGATAAATTTGGGTAAATTTATTTTCTCTATAAATATTATGACGTATACCGTCAAAATATATTAACGAAAACAGCAAAAAAAAGAAGATAGGATAAAATAAGGAAGCTGAAATTAGAAACATACGAAAGCGCGAACTATTTTTTGTTTTTCGTTTATTTTGCGGTTCGTAGCAAAACGAAATAGATTTCAGGAAAAAATATTTACCATTTGGTAATAATCATAAATCACACCTGGCAACCAGGCAAAAAGGAATTGTATCCAGAGCTACACATGTAAAAAAAAAAAAAAAAGAAAAAAATGTCGTAATTTTGTCTATATTTCTTTTTTTTTTCACAATTCATTCTTAATTCTTATATCTATTCATATTTATATATTTGATTTAATTTTATTTTATTTTACATTAAAAATTGGTTATATACTTTTTGATTGAGAATAACTTATAAAAGTGTTTACTTGCTCTCTAAGTTAACTCCAAAGATTAGTCTCTAAAAAATGTATCTATCTTATGATTTCTCAGAATGATTTTTAATAGGTAATATAATAAAATTACAATTCTTAAAACAATATATTAGCCACAGATTGGCTGCGGATTTATCAACATTAACAATAGTACTGTTATTAACTTCTGTGTTCTAGCCATGTCTATATATATTGTTTTACTTAGCATTTTTATGATAATATCCATTGAAAGTCATACACTGTATTCAGTTGAAGAAACCTATAAAAAAGGAATACAAGCTTACAAAAAGGAACATTGGACAGAATGTTCACAATGGCTTGAAGAATCCTTGCATTTGTATAAACTTTACAAATCGATAACTATCAACTGTAGACTATCATGCAAAACTAAATATTACAATTATAAACCTTTTTCAAATGGTCCAAATGAAGATTTAAAAACATATGAGGTACTTTTCAATAGACGAAATTGTTTACATTTGTGTCAAGAAAAAAGATTTAGAAATAATCATTTAAACAATGATATTTCTGATACCACGTTATACCACATGCAGAATAGAATACCATATGAGTACTTACACTTATGTTATTATCAAACTCACAATTTACAAAGAGCTGCATCAGCGGCTGTTACCTTTTTAACTTTACATCCTAATGATATTGAAATGAGACAAAATTTGGAGAAGTATCTAAATAAACCAGATGTTAAAGAAGAAGAAGTAGTTGATTTAGAAAAAGAAACTTTTCTTGTGTTATTTGACAAAGCTTTAGAATTTTATAGGAAAAACATCTGGAATAAGACTGTTAACAATTTGGAAGAGGCCATAATAAACTATATGATTTGGGAAGAAAACTGTAGACTGGAATGTGAACACCAACCAACACATGAGTGGTCCTCAGAATTTATTGAAATTATATCTAATTATGTAGCATCTTACTTACAGTGCCAGCAAAATTGCCAAGATAAACTAAAGTCAATAGAATATGATTCAGGTGTTCATTTCTTGGCAGAGATACTCAACTATTTACAAATAAGTTATTATCATTTAAATGATTTTGAAAAAGCTGCTAAATCGACTGCTACATATTTAGCCTTAATTCCTGATGACGATGATATGCTGCACAATAAGGAAATATATACCTCATTAGTAAATACAGATGCTTTTATTGAAAATAGTGATGTAATTAATTACTTAAAACGTGATAATCATGAAAAAGAACTTCTTAAATTGTTCTATCAAGGAAATAATCACAATGATGACATTTCACAAACTAGACTCCAATAATTTACTTGGTGCATTGATAATTGTACATAACAAAGCTACAGTATAAATTGTAGCAATTTTATTCTAGTTTAACGTGTTAACTCCTAGATCACATTAATCATCCAATCTTCCTGTGCCATCATACAAATTTTTACTTAATCTATTGGATATGTTCACATTATGAATTACTTATATGTTGTATATATTACATGAACACTTTTGACCCTCAAATCAAAAGTATTGAAAATGGGCATTGGTAGTTGATTAATTGCATTTTCATTTGAAAATATTATATAAAAATAGAATATTAAAATTAAGACCCATCAGAGATTCGCAGTTAGTATCTTTAATATAATAATAGTGCCGAGCCCCATTGGTGATGAGACTCAATTTGTATCATTGATAATTTCTAATATCATGCCTAACTTAAATTGCAAATACCTATTGTATTTATTTATACTTCATAACAAATACAATTCTACTCGACTGCTACTGTATTTTAAAACAAAATAGTATTTCAGGATTGTACTAGTAGTACAATATTGTATTTGGTAATATTGTTCTCAACAAACAAATAGGTAACCTAGTCTATTGTAACTAAGTGCCATATTATTTTATAAGAATTAATTTAACCTTATTATACATTTTATATTATTTGTATCTTTTTACCTACTTAAAATTACCTGAAAAATACTGCAATCATTACCTATTAAATATCATAAAATTACATACCCAATATTTTATAATAATATTTTTACTGAAAACTGTTGGTTAGGCATTAGAAAGTAACAAATTATTGCATGTTAGCTAAGCAATAATTGCAGTGTTACTATTTATTCTAAAGCTATGCTATGATTGTCAGGTACATGTAACTAAACATACTATAATGTACTAGTAACCCATTTACAAATTCCCAGTAAACACTTAAGTAATTGTAGTCTTTTTAAGTTTAAGTGCCATATTTTATACCTGTTACTAGAATTAAGTATTATAACTATTGTTTACATATTAATGTATTAATATATTTTAATTTTATATAATGAACTATTTTAATTCTGGGTGAATACTATTGATTTATGAATAAATCAATTATAAATACAGATGTATTCTCATTATTCACTCTATTGTTCCCTCTTGAACTTCGCTGCACCTAAACGGTACTTTTTAAATGATGGAATTACTATTCCGCTTGTGCTATCGGTACGAATACGCTTTCGTTTACTAGCACTGATAATGAACACAGTATACTTAATCCATTGTGACGAATTCATCAAGAATACTCCAAACCGATTTTCAGGGAAGACTGCGTAGAAGTCGTCCTGTCAAGGTATAATTGAGAGCAATGGTGTTGCTAATTCTCTATGTTATCGCTCTAATCATTCTATAGGATAACCTGTTAATGAGTAGGCATTATCTATAGCTAAAGATAAAGTTAGATCAATTCAATCATCTACTAGAGTCTAGTCAGTACTAAAATAAAAATGTAAATAACATGTTACATGTATATATTTTGGAAAAGCCCATTTAACAGACTACACTTCAAAATAAAATTAAATTGTTTGCATAATTTAAGTTTTATTTAAGTAAAGACAAAAAATGGTAAAATTAAAGATGAATGTTTTTAAAAGAAAAAAAAAACTAAGTATTCAAGTTTTTTAAAATGATACAAAAATTAGAAGTCAGTAAAACCACCCATGACATTAATAACAGTTCTGCAGCAGTTTTTCATGTTTTGAATCAAGTGATCAAAGTCTTGCTGTGGAATATTGTCCCAGGTCCTGCTTAGATGCAAAAAATGTTGCCCTTCAATTGCAATGTTTGCAGGAAAATCCTTCAGAGCCCTTCTTTGGAGCATGTCCCACGCGTGCTCTATGGGGTTTAGGTCTGGTCATTGCGCGGGCTAGCTTAAGACTGACACATCGTGCTCCTGCAGCCAGTTGGTCACGACTCGCGCTGTGTGCGGGCGGGTGTTGTCTTGCATGAGTGTGAATTCTTGGCCCATTTGTAGTCGATGGAGATGGACATTTGGTATTATCACCTGGTTACGGTATTTTTCAGCGGTCATGGTGTTTCTGATCCAAACGACTTATGTTGGAATAAAGGGATTGTTAGTAATGGGGTAAAAAAGCCCCATTGCTAGCAATATGCCCTATTAAGTCAACTTCCACATGGTTCCCCCTGGAAACCATCGCGAACAATTCTTGTTGAATTCGTCACGATGGGCTTAACTGACCTGCTCCATCCTCACCTATCATCCTTCACTGGTATCCCGCTGGTGTATACCGATAGCATAGGGGTTATCATTCCATTAGGTATCACACATTAAAAAAAAGGTGTCTGTTCTGCCACCGACATGAATTCCCGCCCAAACCATAATTGTCCCGCCACGGTAAGAATGGACTTTCTGAGGGTATAGCAAACGGCTCTCATGATCAGGAACTCTCCATACACATACTCTTCGTGAATGAGGATGGAAACCAAATTGGGACTAATTGGTAAATGTTAGAAATAGGTTTATTTTCATACAGCTATAAACTACTGGCCGGTTGTAATTTAAAACGATATGTTTTTAAATTTAGTTGACACACTGTTAGAAACAATCGTTGCTTTTCTGTATTTGCTCTTCTATTAAATTTTAACGTACTTTTATATTGTGTTTATCCTATTCCCTTCCACTATGGAAATATTAGTTGATATCTCATGCTAAATAACAACAGGTTATGGGCCGGGAGTAAAAGGTAAAATATGATTGAAAGTAATGGTGGTGGTTCGATTGCAAACTCAATCATGAATAACAGACGGTCATCATCAAACGATAATGAGAGTGGTAGTCCGCCGTCTATCGAAAAACTCGATGGGAATAGCAATTACAACAGTTGGTAATTTGCTATGGAGCTATACCTTCTCTATGACGATTTATGGAAATACACGCAGGTATCACCAGAGAATGATGATATAATAGGGGTGAGAAGAGATCAGAAAGCTCGCGCTAAGATCATTCTAATGGTGAAATCACGTTGTTTAGTACATGTTAGAGAATGCAAAACAGCTAAACAAGCATGGGAAGCACTGAAAATTGCTTTTGAGGATAAAGGAATAAATAACCAATGTCGCCTTTTATCAAAATTAGTAAGTTTGAAGTTAGAACGATTTACGTCAGTGAGAGACTACGTAACGACTATTATGACGATATCGCAGCAGTTAAAGGATATTGGGAAGGAGATTGATGATGAGCTCCTAGCTGCTCTTATGCTTCAGGGATTTACTGAAAATTTTCAGCCAATGAGATTAGCGCTCGAAAATATTAATACAGTATTAACAACAGATTTTATTAAGATGAAGCTTTTCCAAATGGAGGACACATCAGGGAGCTCAAGTAATGCCCCGGATAGCTCTGCACTATTGATTAACAGAAAGACTAAAGAGAAGGTTCAAAACAGCATTCCTCAATGGCAATCTAACTGAAACAGTCTATATGAGACAACCAGCAGGGTTTGAAGAGAAAGGTAAGGAGGACCATGTTTGTCTACTGAAAAAATCTCTCTATGGATTGAAGCAAGCACCAAGAGCTTAGAATTAAAAATTACATTCGGAGCTAATTAAACTAAACTTCAAGAGATCGAAGAATGAGCCCTGTATCTACACGAGATCTAAAGGTGATAATAAGATTATTATTGCTATTTATGTGAATGACATGCTGATCTTCTGGAACAACGCTAAAGAGTTGTGTCAAGTAAAGAAAGACTTGATGTCAAAATTTTATATGAAGGACCTTGGGAAAGCCGAGTTTATATTAGGCATTCGTATCACCCAAGATCATAAAGGTATTAAACTGGACCAGGAACAGTGTGTAGAGAAATTGCTTAAACGCTTTAAGATGGAAGCTTGCAAAGTGGCCGCAACTCTGTCTGTACCAGGCCAGAGGCTGACTAGACCAGGGTCTGATCACAAACCGGATGACAGGATTCCGTATTATGAACTAGTAGGCTCTTTATTGTACCTAGCAGTGTGTAAAAGGCCGGATATAGCGCACACAGTCTGTTCTATCAGTCAATTTAATACCTGTTATACTGAAGAACACTAGCTCGCAGCAAACAGAGTGTTGCGTTATTTAAAAGGAACAAAGAGCTATGGTATTCAATATAACAAAGGAATTACTTTGCCAGTTATTCAAGGGTATGCTGATGCTGATCACGCTAGCGATGAAGATCACAAGTCGTACTCTGGATTTGTTTATATCAGCCAAGGAGGAGCTATTTGTTGGGAAACAAAGAAGCAACGCACAATTGCACTATCAACAGCTGAGGCAGAGTATGTGTCATTGTCGGAAGCTTCAAAAGAGGCAGTGTTTCTGCGCAGGTTTCTCGCTGAAATTTTTAGTACCAAAGAGAAACCAATCCTTATTTTCAGTGATAGTCAATCGGCCATAGCTATCGCAGAGAACCCAGTTCATCATCAACGTACAAAGCATATAGACGTGAGATACCTCTTTATTAGAGAAGCTGTAGAACTTGGTGAGGTGAATTTAAGGTATATAGACACCTCCCATATGTTAGCGGATGCTCTAACTAAATCTCTATTAAGAGGAAAGTTTGAGTACTGTGTGAATGGTATGGGAGTCAAATCCTGATATTGGTAGATTTGATGTTGTACTGGTGTAGATGGTATGTATGTATGTCTGTATGAGTGTTTATTGTATGAAATTAAGGAGGAGTGTTAAAAATTGGTTTATTTTCATACAGCTAAAAACTACTGGCCGGTTGTAATTTAAAAAGATATGTTTTTAAATTTAGTTGACACACTGTTAGAAACAATCGTTGCTTTTCTGTATTTGCCCTTCTATTAAATCCTATTCCCTTCCACTACGAAAATATTAGTTGATATCTCAAGCTAAATACCAACAGTAAACAATACTATAGACCACTGGATATCTTCCCAGAGCAAATGTTCACGGGCCCATTGTAATCTTCGTCCACGATTTCCTCGGCGCAGCGCCGGAGTACGAAGCGGTCTGCGAGCATGCAGATTAGCTTCATGCAGTCTTCACAGTTTGGTCACTCTCAAGCAACTGGTGCTCTGACTGGAGCCTTTGAATTAACTGCATGGCTGTAACATTTGGTTGCATTCTCGCTGCAACTTGCAAAAATCGGTCTTGCCGGTGAGTGGTAATACGCCTCCAGCCAGAGCGTCTTTTAGCCACCAGTAGCACGATAACGTGCCCATAATCTTGATATCACATTTTGTTTTGTTTCAATCGCCTCGGCAACCGTACATTAAGTAGGCCCCGTTTGTAGCATGCCTACTGCCCGTAACATCTCCTCTCTTGTTAAATGGCGCCGCTGCATGATGAAAACAGTCGCATAAATTCCGAATCAATCACTAACTTGCTTCAAAACATTAATTTGATTAAAAAGATTTCCAAAAACTATGATAGGTAAATTGAAACATTGGAATTGCCGTAATTGTAATTCCGCGCAAGTTAATAGTTTTTAATATTTTTTCAAATTCAAATTTAGAATCGTTAAAAAAGACCAATAAAATAAGATATCTTCAAAAAAAACGGCCAGTATTTTTAGAATTGAAGAACTTTATATGAAATATCCCCAGACGGTGTTGAGATGTGTATGCAATCTTATTACGACAAAGTGCTGCCTCTATAGAACAATTTAGAAACTAAAATTACTATTGTTAATTAGGCTATAGTTTATCATTAAATTGCAGATGGCTCTGTTTGTCAGAGAAAGTGCATTTAATGCATTTAATCCATCTATTGGAAAACTTGTGCAAAATAATATGTACCAATAATAAAGTCGAAAATAATAATACCTAATTATTATTTTCGACATTTAGTAAGATCGGCTCGATTATCATATAATAATTAGCCTCCGAATTGTTTCAGAATCCGAGCTACAAAGCATTTTAGCGATATTAGCAACGTACAAAATGGCGATAATCAATCCAACAGAAGTACGATAGTAATCAATAAATATTGATATGAGTATTGACATAATTTAATTAATCGATATCGCACATATTATTAATTATTATAAGATATTTGAACTAGATATCGATTAATTAAATTATGTCAATACTCATATCAATATTTATTGATATATATATATATATATATATATATATATATATATATATATATATATATATATATATATATATATATATATATATATATATATATATATATATATATATATATATATATCTCAAATATGCCCTATATCAATCACATAATTTTAATAGGCAATATATACAATAACTACGTATGATTGTAAGGAAAAATACATTAATACATAATGTATAATTATAATAATAGAATAATAATATATACCAAATACAACTGATTGATATAAAAAAAATTAAATATGCAATAAGTAGGTATGTATTATTGATTTTTATATGATTCTGATATTATAATATCTACGAAGTTGTTAATGATGGTAACATTTGTTATTTTTTGGTGCTGGCGATACTTTTAAATTTTCATAGAGGGCGTTATTCGCTCTTCGTTATATGGCTGTCAAAGCAAATTGTGTGTACAAAATCCGTGGCAATTTTTTATATTACAAACTGTAAGTGGACAAATATGGAAATATTATTGTGATTATAGGTAAGTGTACAAGGTATATATTTTGTACGAAGTATTATATTCAATATAGTAAATAACAATATTTCAGAGAATATATTTGACCGAGTTAGATAGTATTGCCATGTCCAGTTAGTTTTTCACAAATTTAAGGAAATATTTTATTCGAGTGCAATGAAAATTAAACAACTATGAATGTTATCAAATTTTATGTAAATTCAAGTTTTGGCTTCAGAATATTGTCGTATAAGTTTATTTGTTAGATTATATTTTTTTTTTTATTAATTTTTTATACAACTTTAGTTTATTCAGATATATCAACCACCTTAACTTCTCTTTGTAAATTTATACCTTTATAGCTCTCTCCTATCGCGAAAACACGTATTAAAAATAATAAAATCTAAGTACTATTAATCTCTCTTACATATGTTAGAATAACATTTGTACCTACACATCTTATTTTGTATATGACTTAAATTATCCTATTTACTTTTAGTAGATACCTACTTACAATACTTGATAATTTGAGGAGGGGAATTTGTTAATAAAATTGGCGTATTTAAGATTTTTCAGTGGAGACCAGGAAGTCTAATATGAAATAAAATTCCAAATTTTCGGACTTAATTTCGTGTTTTTATTCATACCGAAATCAACCCCCTAAATGGAGTTTTATTTCATTCATTATAAATCCTACTATAAAAGTCCAAAGGAATAATATTTTAACATTTTTAACCGGTATGCATCATTTAATTTTAGTATTAAATCTGTGTTTCGTTCAGCCCCAAAATTTCGGAAAACATTTCATGTTAAGTCTTCTGGTCACTTAGATACATACATTCATGTCTTTATGAAATTTCGCTGGATTCCTAGAGTGGGCGCGAGTGGTAGATATATTTTTAGGTTGCTCTCATAGGAGTTTTATCAAAATCAATTCAGAGTTTAGGATTTAAATCAAAATAACTGGTTTTGTCACAACTCGGTATTTTTGTAGAACATCATCTTAAATTATTTTATATAGATAATTAACTTGTACCCCTTGATGAATTTTAAGTCAATATAGAAATATTATAAATTTTGCATTTACTTACATGTCACGAAATCCACAAATTAGTTATCTATTTTAGTATATTTTCAGCCGATTCTGAATATTTATGATAAATACCTATATGTAGATATTATTTTTAAACATATTCAATTAACTAATGTCACATTGCAAATAAGTATGCTTGTGAAAACATGGAAATTTTATTATTATCTACATATTATTTTAATTTTTTTTATTTCAGACAAAATACAAGATGGCGGCCGAAACAATGGATGATCAATACAGCATCAAAAATCTTTTATTTTATCGAGCCATTCCAAATTACGTGATACCAGTATCTACAGATGGCTACAAAATTTACGCGTGTAACGACTGTGGTGACAGGTTATTATTCAATAAACTTATATTTTTAGCGTCCAACTAAATCATGGTTTAACAGTCTACGAAGAGCTTTTTAAACCATTTCTAACCACCATCTTTATTTTATTCATGGAAAAAGTTACATATTTTATATAATTCATATACACAAAGAACATGACGAATAAAAAAGTAGAGCAGAACATAAATTCTCGAACGTAGTTTTAAATAAAGTATTATATTATTGTTTTAGCGATATCCGCAGTTATCCGTTCTGAATTTTAGAGCTATATGCGAAATTTCAGCCTTCTGGCTTTTATTTTTGTACCAAAAATCCATATTTATGTTTGTAATATATTAAAATATTGCTTATTTTCATCATGTCATTGTATTTATATTATAATTGAATTAATAAGTTTTGTGACACAAAAATATCCAAATATTTTTTAAATATCTGGCTGTAAGGACTTTTGAAATTTTAAAATGGTAACCCTATCTCCATCACATCTATGGTTATTCCATACAGGAAATATCTATAAATCAGCAAGACTATTATAGTTTGGGACCCATTCCTATAAAGTATAGGCGTAGATACTAATCTTTTTGTTATGATACCTACTTAGCGTGGCAAACAAGCTGACGATCCAACCGATTAAAAATGATAATTGTCGAGACATAAGCAGCATCATTGACATTGCAAAACACATCGCAATACCCCGCACGTATTTTTCTACATATTGAGATACCTGTTTACCCCCTATAACTAAAAAGTAAACCTTGTATCACACCTACAGGTGGCATACACGAAATACCTACCTATATAAGTTAATTAATCACATGGTTATTAAATTAAAAGTAAATATATTATTTAACAGCGAAAAATTTAGACTTAAGTTTTCTGTAGAGATTTTATTAAAAGGTATAATAATATTTACAAGTACAAATTAGTAACCATTTGCATTATTAGATGTTTAGTAATCAAGGCGTTGCCCCTATCCCAATTATTACGTGGGATAACCCGGTTCTGTACTCCTTTCCGCCTGATCTCTGTAAGTAAATGTAAAATGTAATATCTATAAGATCTTCTCCACGAAAATTTAAACAATGTCCTGTAAACTTTAGAACTGATAATGATAAAAAATAGAGTTTAAATAAATGCCTACCTAAAATATATCTAAACTCCATAGTATCTAGAATATTAATAAATGGCTAAGTCATCACATTGAACAATATTGTTTCAGATTTGTCTTTCAATCAAGTTATGAGCAACACGTAAATCGCAAATCTGTCAAAATTACATATACTTGTCGCCACTGCAACCATGTGAAGATTTTTTTCAACAGATGCAATTTGCTCGCACACATTAGATCACACACATTTAAAACGGCAACAATTAATGTAAGTGATTTGATGATAGAGCCTTTACCACAATGCCATTTTCGTTTCGATCCTTCCAATGTATCAAATCAAGTTAATTTACCACAACCTTCACAATCTGAAAAAGGAAACAAAAAATACAACGATTTGTGTTTTGAATGTAAAAGCGACATTTCAGATACAGGAGTAATGTACAAGGACAGAGGGAAACATTATATGCAACTGACAAATCAAATTTACACATGCCCAGTGTGTTTATTTGCAATGCCTACAATATGTGGTTTAAAAGCACATCTTCGTATTCACTTGAAATCGGCACCATATTATTGCCCCGAATGTGGTATATATTTGTCAAAAAAAGCAATACATTATCCATATAACCATGACTGCGACGGTTTCAAAATGATGAGAGCTACTGCTCGATATAAATGTTCTATTCCTGGTTGTCATTTATTCCATCCAAACGAATTCAAAGACCACATGAAGAATCATCTTAAAAAGGTGTACAAGTGCCAATTTTGTGTTGTAGCGTGTTTTAATGAGCATACTATACGTAAACATTTAAAAACGCATTCATCTGAAAGCAAAGCTCTAATATTTTATCAATGTGAAATGTGCCCTGGTAGATTAGTGCTGCACAATCAAATGGAAAATCATTTAAAAAGCCACGTCAACAGCACTCTGTTTCCATGTTGGGGGTGCGGTGCAACATTTAATGATGTCCCACTTTTGCTTGAACACCATATAAATACCCACAATCCAAATGAAGATATTAAAACTGTATATTCATCATTTATTACAAATAAACCTGAAACAAACAAGAAGAGAATATATCGAGTGGTTAAAAAATGCTCAAAATGCAAGAGAAGTTTTACATACAAATGTAAATATAATGAAATACAAGTTCTTCCCAATGAATGCCCATACAAATGTTCATTACAATCTGTAGATGTCCAAGCTAACACTAATTCAAACAGAGATGCAGGAGCTGAAATAAAATGTCATATTTGTGGAAACAAAATTTTTGAAAATTGGGAGGAAATAAAGAAACATTATGCATCTAATCATAAAGAGCACCAATGTGTTGATATTAAAGTAGTTTTAACTAGATTTAAAAAAAATGTGATTACAAAGAATAAACAACAAAAACATGTTATTACTTCAATGAAGAATAAGCGATCCAAAAAGATGGGAAGAATTACAAAATCTAAGAGAAAAATCTTTATCAAAACATCATCAGATACTAGTGGTACTACATTAAGAAACACTTTGTACACTTGCAGTAAATGTGATTGCGTATGTGAAAACAAACAATCGTTTGAGACTCACATAGTAACCCATAGAGATCCTTGTATGGCATATCAATGTATGGAATGTGGACAATGTTTTGTAGTGAAACCATCTTTTTCCACTCACTTGATCGTAGAACACGGTATTCTAAATGTTGAAGAATATATTACTCAAAAACAATGCTATAATGAAAATGCATTGGAAAAATACCAAAGCGATAGTGCACCTGTTGAACCGTTACGTAATAATCAATGTAAAATTTGTAGAGACCAATTTGATAATTCAGATGATTTGGAAAAACACTTTAGAGTGCATGGCATGGCTTTTCTGTTGCAAAATACTAATAAAAATAATACCAATACTTAATGTGACATATGAATGATCTTCTACTTTATTACAATTTTTCTATTCATTAAGAAAATAATAAAAGTACTATATACCAAATATGCGAGTAAATTAAGAATAAAGTTTTTCGTATTCAACAAGATTCTTATTATGCTCACCAAAGTTATTTTATACCATCTAAAATTAAATTGCATTGAATTTCACTTATATTGACTCTACAGCTTTCAACCTTGAAAGTACAATATTTTCAAACTTTGTTTATTTAAGAAATCTTTATCTTTGACGAACATACTTTAAAATTAAAAGAATTAACTCAAATTAGTCGATGGTGCCACAAATCTTAGATTAAGAGTAGTACCTTGGATTTCTCAAATCAACATTATTTACAAATAACAGAATCTCAAATTATATTTAGATTCTATTGAAAAATTTGTAAATTGAATTATGGGTTTATGGGCTAAATATGGGAAAAAAACCTTTTCGTTAAAGTATATTTATCATAACCAATACAATAGGATTAATACAGAAAAATTCAGTAAAAATTTAATATATAATGGTCAAAATACAGAATGGTGCATACAACAATCAGATCAGTATATCTAAAAATGATGAGGATTTTTTTTTTTATTTTATACAACTTAGAATAGCAAACAAGCTGACGGCCCACCTAATGGAAAGTGGTAACCGTCGCCTATAGACCTGAGTAGTACCATGGACATAACAGAGTATACTGTTTCGCCCATGATACCCCCCATGCGTTGCCATTCCTGAGGACTCAGGTGTTATTCCTCTGTACCCAGTAAATTCACGCCATATCCCACCCTTCAAACCGAAAAACAGCCACGCAAACAGCTGCTTCATGGTTGAAACACGAATGGGACAGAGGTGCCCAAGCAATCGACTTTTGTACAGTTTCCCTCTGGCAGAGAACCGCTACAAGTGGCAAGATAGATACCTAAATAGAACATTAAACATTAAAATCATAAATATAGGGTAATGAAGTGATCACTCCAAATTATTAAGCTATATATTATAAAACTATAAAAAAATGATATAATACCTATGATTTTTACATTTAAAAATGGCGTTAAAATATGGTTGTATATATCTGTCTATAAGTACACATGTCTGAGACAATGCTTACACCATCAAAAATATGCATCTTATAAGAAACTTATATATAAAAAGTTATTGCTGTTCCTTAAAAGCTAAAAATTGAAAAAGTTCTTTCAGCACTGTCTACTTTTTTACTAACTATATTTGTATATTAACGTTTCTTTCAATTTTAACTATTTATTATAAATAATTGTACACTTTTGTATAACTAGTGGTTGACAGAGCTAACATATCACTATTTATAATTTACAGTACACATTTGTATAACTAGTAGGTGACAGAACTATCCAGACAATACCTATTTTTCTTTGTTTATTGCACTATTGCACAGTAAAATCTTACGATACGATACATTGCGTTGTCTTCTTAATAGGATTTTTTTTATATTTGTTATATGATTTGTTAAAAGCAATTAAAGTACTTGTGCTTAGTTAAGTAATAATAAATACCATTGTAACAATCTAATCGATTTTTCTGTAAATATCGTATCGTCATATTTAAATACTGTGGAAACTTTTTTATTTTGTCGTAACAAGATTTTGATAAAAGAAAAAACATAGTTTTCCAACAATAAATAAATAATATGTCTAGTGAGTATTAAAAATTATATTACTTTTATCAAAAATTTAAAATAACTTAATAGAAACTAAACTACTCAGTGAACTTCTATGAATTAAATTAATGACCTGTGCTTGGTTAGCTCAAAATAAAATACTTTATCCGCATTAATTATCTACATTCATTAATGTATATTTCAACATAACAAATTGTTATGTTGAAATTTACATCTATGAATGTATCATATTATCAACACATATCTTATGGTCTCGTGGTATTGTAGTATATTCTTTATTAAAATGAAGTCTAGTATCCCAGATGGTTAGGCTGAAGTAATAGAAACACCAATATAATTATTAACTATTTGGCATACACTACAAAAATCTTAAGAATATAATAATTCATATAAATATGATTCCCGCATTTTGACAAAAACATAGATAGTATAATCTTTTCTTTCAATATAACTTAATGAAAATGTAAACAGACAAATAATTGACTTGATTATAACAGTCTATTGAAGTCCAATAAAAAAGTCAATTAATTGCTTGAATATATAAATTTGGTACTATTTTCAGTTAGGTGTAATAACTTTAACAATACTTTGTTGCTTTTTCAGTAACTACTTTTGAAAGAGATAACTAATACCAGCTGTCGTGCTGTGTAGTCCCGGCATAGGAAGGGCCAACCCTTTCTTTCTCGTGAGTGTTGAAAGAGGTGACTAAGGGAATTTAATGGTCGAAGGATGGGTAGTCTAGCTGAAGTCACCACTCCACCTACCAAGTGTGACCAATAACAACTCCCACTCGAAGGCAATCTATGAGAAAAGTTTATGGTCAGTAGTGAACAATTAACAATGGACATAGTTGATTGATACTAATACCTACTTCAATATAAACGACATAATCATCTCAGCCATTATCCATCCATTGCAGAACTTAGGCCTCTCCCATAGACTGTCATAAAGAACAGTCCTGAGCCACCTGCTTCAGCTGATATCACTGTTAGCTGATATCATGAATGCAATGCATTTGAGGACACTTCATCTAGTGGGGAATCGTCTTACACTGCCTACTTCAACATAATAATAAAGTCTAAGTTTAAATATTGTCATTAAAAATTACCATGTCAGAATGAAACAATACAGGTGGTCTCACATATTATATATACATATTTAACTTCGTTATGTTAAAAAATATTATTTTATGATGAATACAAATTTAAAAGTGCCACAGGCAGCAATTTCCACTTTTCTTTGGATGTTTACCATCAATCCACACATAAAATATCTTTCTCTCATAAAATAAAATTGACATTCCAGCTTCAAACTTTAAGAACTACTTATAAAGATAACATTTTCAAAAGAACAAATTCAATTTAGATTTAGATACAGAGGATGATATGCCTTAGCTCCTTTCAAGGCTTGTCTACAAGTAGGACATTTCTTCTCAATCTTCAGATATTGTTCCAGACATTTTAAACAAAAAACATGACCACATTTTGTTGATGCTAATGGATTACTACCTAACTCGTCCCAGCAAATAGGACAAGCACTAAATTTTTTAGGTTCACTTGTTTTTATTTCAGATGCACCTGAAGATTTCTGAAAAATAGAATTTTTAAATGGTATATTTGGTAATTACTTACTAATTGATGACTTTGTCTGCGTGGTATTGTTATTCCTTTTTATTATGTATTGTTGTATGTACCTACCTACTAAACAGTATAAGTTACTATAGTTTTTAACTATCCCACAAGAACTCGATAATTTTGCATGATTAAAAGTATCTAAAATGTTGATTGGGGATGTAATGCATCACCCTGCAAAATTTAATTTAAATCAATCCAACAGTTTTAGAGATTAGGCCGTACAAACAGACAAAAAACAAAAAATTGAAAAAATCTGGATGTGTTCTATTTCTCTTACATTCATCTGATTCAGTTTTTAGTGTTTTTTTTTTTTCTATGTACAGATATTCAACCTCTACAGTTTTATTATATGTATAGAAATATAGTAATTTAGCATCAATGCCACAGTTTAAATCCATAAAATATATTAAAAATGTTTTCCTAATTATGAGATTATTAAACAAAAAAAACTTGTGAAATTAATATGGGACTATAAGTACATACTTATAGTATAACATATACTAAGTCTATATATGCATACACAATTGTCAAAATCTTAATTCATAATTAACAATATAATTATGCAAGTAAATGTAAGCCTCAACAAAGAAAGCTAGGCTGGGATTCCGAATAACCACCTAAGTATTAATATTATTAAAACAATACAGTATGTTTTATACCTAATGTTTTATATGTATAATGTTTATTTATATTATTTGTATTTTATATTCAAAATCATAGCAAATAAAATTATTATTAGTAATTTTAAACTTGTTGATTTACATCAATTATACAATATCATTGCTGTAGCCAAGCTAATTAAATAAATTTCTTTACATACTAAAAACATTAGAAAACAAAAAGACTAACAGTAGATTAATAAAACCCTTAGACAAGATACTTCTATTTTATTATCATTTTGGTTGTGGATAAAGGACACAATAGATTTTGGAAATTATGCTACAGATGAATTCGCAAAAAGAGGGTCTAATATCAAAGTAATAAATCTGGTACTACTTTTATCCATACCCTTCTTACAGATTCTAACACTTGAAAGATTTTTGTATATATAAAATCATAAATAGATAGAAATTACTGACTGCAGACAGTCAACATAGCCATGCATAATGAATAGCAAAGAAACTACAACAATAACCGCATTCCAAATAATTGTTAAAACTAGATAGGAACAAACCTCAAAATATTCATTTATTTTAATATACCTACAATGACAAACAAGATGAAAGCTGACCAAATAGAAAGTAGTAATTATCAACTATATATATGAAGGACACTATAAACACCTATATATACTTTATGATGCATATGGTACTCCTAAAGCATTGCTGTTCCTGAGGACTAAAGTATGTACCTCCAAACCCTGTAAAGTCACTACCATGTTCCACTCTTCAAACTAAACTACAGCCATGTAAGTACATCTGATTCACAGTAGAAACAATATCAATAATATAAATAAATATGATATTCATCCCAGACAACTTTCTATGTTGAGGCTGCTGGTTAGTTGGTACCCTTAACTGATTTATCACTTTTTAATATTTATTTATATACAAGTGGATCTAAAAATAATCACACATCTATACTGATAATTCATACAGCCCCATTTTAGGAATAAAGTTATTTTAAAAAATATGTACCTACCCTTTTTTCAGTTGTTGGTGCTCCCTCTGATGTTTTACGTCTTCTTTTCTTATTTTTTTTCATTACAGAAGTAATAGTAACAGAATCATCTGCATCTAATTCTATTATTATATCTGATAAAGCACAATGATCAACTAGAGTAAAAGAATCTGTTAGATCAATGTAATCGTCACAAGTACTCATGGTTAAAAAATATTTGGTCAAAATTTGTCACAAGAGAATTCAAGTTGTTTTTTATTCTCGACCGTTTGCTACCAGTACTTAATTTATGATGATTTTTAAAGAACCTGGAAGTTGACACAAATACTTCAGAGTATAAAAATAAGAATACGAAAAATTTTAACTAAATGGATTACAATATAATTAAATACTACAAGTGTATTTCCAAAGAGGGTTGACGCTAAATTCTTTTGTAATATGGATAAAACCATATTACGCCGACCCCAAATAATAATTGGGATAAGGGTAGGAAGATGATGATGACTACAAGTGTATTATAAAGTTGTTATTGTAGGTATGGATTCTAAAAGTTTGTGTATGGGTGTATGGTATTAACAAAAAAATATTTACAAGTTTACCGGTACTTTTGGTCTTCAAACAAACCCAATATAATAATAATCTTCTCTGATAATATATCTGTCCGTAGGTTATCTATATACTCTTTTTAAAAGTTCTCTTTATTTAATTAATAATAAAAGATAGAAAAAAATTTGAACATAACATTATGAATAAAGAATTTTTTAAGTGTAGGTAAATATAGAACTTTTTTTTTAGTACATTTGTTTCGTTATGGAACAGGCTAAGGTCGGAGACCATGCTGCCTAGTCTTCAATATGATAAATTGCCTGAAATTTTATTTTACTAATGTTTTTTGATATTTTTGTTGCTTCAATTATTCAGTCATAGTCTTCAATATTTCATTTATCAGATCCTTTAAATTTTTTTTCTTGGATTTTCTTAAACCAGTGGATTTATGTTGAAAATGTAAATAAGAAAATCAAATAAAAAATAAGTAATTAGAAAAAATCATTGTCTTCCTTTACAATAAAAGTATTCTTATAGCTCTTTGAATGTTGTAGTAATATAAGTGAAAATAGCTTTGAAACAAGAAGGAAGTCTTAAAAGGTGTGGGATTGAGTGCGGGATATTTTCAGGTTTTTTGAAGATAATTTGGAGATCATCAAACATAATATGTCTTTGGATGATAAATTCAGAGCAATCAAAAATCAAATAGGTGATGTAGTGATTGGGCTGTATTTGAATTACACCATGTGTATGATGGGGAAGCGATCATGCTCATTCGGTGCAGGTGTTCGTTGAAATATCCGTGGCCGATTCGTAGTCTATAAATATTGGTGTAAAATTTTCTGTTTGTGTCCTTTCCTTTGCAGAACTACGGTTTTCCAATACACCAATTAATTTCGCGGACCATTTGCCTTTAGTCTGTAATATTTGAAATATAGAACTTATGTTCTAACACTAAGAACAAGGAATTACATAGAAGAACTGATAAAATAAAAACTGTAAATCATATGATTGTCTCTTTTCTTCTTATGCAAATATAATTAGTAAAAAGAGAAGAAAAGATATACCATCAGTTGCTATTTTTTTCAATTCATACAGGTTAGTGTATAAAAATGTTTGATATGTCAATTATTGTCAAAATTTATTACATTAAAATGACAAATTTTACATTACTAGATTATATATTCGATACAATTTATGTAGAAAGTACACAAGCAGGTTGTATCTAAATTTAGTAGAGTAATACGGCCGTATAACATTTTCTGTAACTGGTAAAAAATGTTAACATGTTCTTGATATAAAGCATTTATAATTTTGTATGGAAACTTAGAGAATATCTATATAATATAAGCAGATGACTAGAATTTGTTAATTTAAAATCGCTAATTTTCGTATCATGTATTTGAAATCGAATGTTTGAATCCTGCTGTAAACATATACTTGAGAATTCGAATCTGTGTAGTAAGTTTAGTATCGATTAACTTGACTCATTCAAACTTGTGGCTTGCTAGTGGCCTGACTCGGCACATCACTATTACAATTGTCTATCTATTTGTTTGTTACAAATATTTTTTGAATTAATTGTTTTACATAGCTATTTACTTATTTTCCTTTTTAATTTTAATTATTAATAAATTCAAAGTTTATTGAAGATTACACACTCACTATGCATCTTGGAGTAAACATATCAAACGCGTTACAACAGCTGGAAAGTGTGAAAGCTGCAGTTGATCAAAGTGATGATCCAAAATTAAAGGTATGACTATTTTCTTCGAGTACTCTTTGTAGGATTGTATATTAAAATATCTAATCTAAATGTTTTTGTGACAGGCTGCAACAAACGATGATTTGAATATACTTATCAATCTTTTGGAAAGTCCCATATTAAAAAGTATTGCTACTCTTCATGACTCTGTGGGAATGCTTGCCACTCAGGTAGCTCATCATCCTTCTATCCTTCCTGGAGACTTTGATATTACGCCAGCTGGTAAGATTATTGCAGTATTAAAAAAAATGATAATTCACCTATTTCAAAAAACATTATGAGTATGGCAGAAGAAGCATGAAAGTAAGATAAATGTCAGAAATGAGAGATCTGAGAAATATATGTGCTATTACATTAAAAGATTGTGTAAGAAACAGTGTAATTAGAGAAAAATGTGGGCTGAATAAATGATATGCTGAAAAAAAGCTAAATTAAAAGTATCTGTGACCAATGAGCATGTATGAAAAGATTAATGTGGAGGAAGAGAATAAAGCCAGTTTGAAACAAACCAATTGTCATTCCATTTTTTTACCTATCTTATGGGGAGACAGGCATAACAGATATGTATGTATAAAGTATCTGGCTTTACATATAAAATATTATATCTTGTCAAATAAAAGATTTCTTCTAACTTCACTGTGTGGATATGAAAAATATACTGAGAATTTAAAAACTTGTTATAGGTTTAACAATAATTGTATATTTAATGAACTACACATTTTTCTTACTATGTAAGTTTAATTTAGCAACCAACAAATCATATTATGTTTTGTTAATTTTAATAGGTGACCTTGCATTGCAATCAAGAAATTTATATGGGACTCATGAAGGTGAAGAAGAACAAAGGGTGCCTCAAGTTTCTCCACCACATAGTTTAGAATTTGGATCTAATTCTGACAATGAAAGAATCCTTGGTCTTGATACTGCTTCTGTTGATTCCAACATGTCCCCTAAACAGGTAAAGATGTTAATGATTTCGTCACTAGTAGTTTATTAACTATGACTAGAACTTAACTTTCTATTTCCTGTGTTTATGTCTAAGTAAATCAGTTTATAAAGTACCAAACTACATATGTACCAAATTTCAATCAAATTTGTTAAGCTATTTAAGTATAATGAATATTATAATTTTATAATATTAGTAAGATAATATCTAATTCAGTAATATTAATATTAAATAAGTATAGATTATGAAGTTAATAAAGCAGTGGGATTCAATAGAATATCTGCTGAAATGCTTAATGAAATGAACTTGGAAAAATAATTGTAAACCTGTTGTTTTATAAATGTTGGCTGTCTTATTGTGTTCCTGGTGACTGGAATAAAGTCACTGTATAAAGGCAGTAGGTCACAGCAGGAGTGTAAAAATTTCTGCAGAAATAGCCTTCGTACTGGAGGCAAATTGTATGCTAGAATTTTGATTAGAAAAGTGGTGAATGAAATAGAAAATAAAATTTCAGATGTACAGGCAGGTTTTCAAAATTGTATAGGATGTACAAACCAAGTTTTTTCCTTAATGTGGGTGTCCCTTATATGGGTGAAAATTTTTTTTTTCTGATATTGAAATGCATACCCCCTTAATTTTTTTAAACTATCTAAACTTAATGAAATACAAAATTTTATCTTTACATGTCAATATTAACCTGTGTCACAGAGCCTTGAAGATTTTAAAAATTGGTGTCTTTAACCCTTATCGTTGTGAATGTGTAATAAAATAAAATTTTTATATTGTGTAAGTATCAGTAACGTTTATGAAAAGATTGATGATTGTGAAAGAGGTTTGTTTGAATCAAAGCATTTGGCGTTCTATTGTTTCTGCCTACCTTAATGGAAGAAAGGCGTGACAGATATATATGTATGTATTCTACTTACTATATATTGTTGTACAACGAGTTGTTTTATTGAAACATAGCAATGATGTGATGTGTTAGTGGCATTAAGGTATTTTTCTATTTTAAATTTATAATATTAGTAAGTTTTAAATTTCCAGGCCCGTGGAATATTAGAAATGGCTCGTAATGATGATTCACTTCCATCTACATCTCACAATATAGTAGCAGGCGATTGGGCACAGGTTGAAATTATTAACTTGGTCAATGATGGCACTGGACTCGGATTCGGTATAAATTTTATCTTTTTCATACTATTTAATGTGACCTAGTTTAAATAATTTATTGAAATAATTAAAAATAATTTATTGAATTATTTAATGGTAATATTTTAGAGTGCACGCAACTCCAAAAACAAGGCTAAATATTTCAATACAATTTCGCATCTAATAGACACCCACTATTAATATGTCACAAATTTGTTAATATTCTATGAATTTTGTTTTTTACTTACTATTGTGATCTCTAATGGGGTAATTAGAGGCATTTGTTGAGCATTACCATTATAAACAATGAAATACTTGTAATTTATGAAGCTAGTGCTTACTAGTTATTTTTCTAATGGGTACAATTTTTTTTTTCAGGAATTATTGGTGCTAGAACTAGTGGTGTCATAGTAAAAACTATTCTAGCTGGTGGTGTAGCTGATCGAGATGGGCGTCTTAAGTCTGGTGATCATATTTTACAAATAGGAGATGTGAGTAACAATTCTGAGTAGTCAGTGATCAAATGTAATATTTTTTTATTATAATTGTTACATTAATTCAAACATGTTTATTATAAAAAAAAGTAAATGAATTGTCCTACAGTGCTATGAAAATTAAAATATCAAAGAACTTAAGCTGTCATCTGACCTGGGCCAGTGCATATTGTATTTATGTGTGTTTGTATCAAAGATTAAAAAACGATAAAAAATTTGGCACGTGGTATGGAAGACTCGAATTTTTTTTCGATTCATGTTTTTCTTTCGAGAAAATGTAATTTGACTGGCACTCTACCAGAGGGAGATTGTACAAAGGGAGTTTGCTTGGATACCTTGAAAGCAGTTGTGTTTGCAGGGCTGTATTTCGGTTTGAAGGGCAGTGAATTTACAGGGTACAGAAATATAATAATATAATAATAATGGGCGAAACAGTGCATTATATTATGTCTATGGTACTGCTCGTGCCTATAATGCCTATTACCACTTTTCATCAGGTGGACCGTCAGCTTGTTTGCCATTCTAATTTGCATAAAAATAACTACTATTTTAAAAGGATGTTAATAATCGAGAGATTAAAGAAGGAAAAAACATTACACCAATACAAAGTAGCTATTAGTAGTGAGAGGAAGGGTAAGGAATGCGATGATGTGGAGCGTGTGGTTGGTGGCAGGCGCACCTGATGGAGATGGGGTCGGAGCAGGTGGCGGGCGTGCTGCGCGCGTCGGGCTCGCGCGTGCGGCTCGTGGTGGCGCGGCCCGTCGAGCCCGCCGCGCCGCCGCCGCCCGCGCAGCACCACCACGCGCCCGCGCCCGTCGTGCCCGCCAGGTCTGTCATTATTTCTCAAACATGCTTGGAAATGTGACCATTACTTTGACAATCCTCTTAGAGATAAATTAAAATTGCCGTACTGGCCAGATACATGCGGGCAGCGGCCGGCAAGAGTTGTATGACAATCCATATCTATCGTGTTTTGCGGCCAGATAGATTACTATGTAAACTCATATCTGTCCAGTAATTTAAAAATGGAATGACCTTTTACTTCGAAACATGGCTACCGAGGAGGTAATTAATAAAAGGTTTTATTTAAATTTCGAACTGGCTTGCAAATAGAAAGCTGTTTATTGAAAAATAAAAAACAAAGGAACATTATGGCGCGTGAAAAATTATTATTGTTCGTTATTCGTCATTGAATTTAAAAAGTAAAATTGTGATTTCTGCGCATTATTTGAGAAAAGTACTATACAAGCCTTGGCCACAACTAGGCACTGATGGTCTCACGTATGTGTGCCTCGGCTGCACCTCGGCCCACATTTGTACGTTCGTTCATCAATGCCTCAGTTGCTGGCCGCTGCAGTAATGTACTATTTATGACCTGCTTTTTGACCTACTTCGTACGCGGGGATTTCTGATCCTAGCAGTATTGATTTATAAACGAGCATCTTGTTACGTGAAAAAAAAGTTTCCCAGTTCTCCCTCTTCCACGTATTCTAAAAACACACATTGTAATTCTCATAGTGTACTTTCATCCTTCGGGCTCTTGTGGTACGTATCAAACCCAACCATGGAAGCTTTTGGTTTATCAAACAAAAGCTTCCATCGCTTCACAATTGGCAAAAAAAACATGTCATAAGTATTTCTTTTATTAGATATTTAATGTGCCTTGGATATTTTTAGATTGTTATCGGATCCCGAAGCTTTGGACCGGTACCTGCTTGATGCTGGCTTTGAGCAAGTTTTCCACACGCAGCCAACATCGTTGTCGCACACTACGACCGCTTCGAGATTTGTTTTTGACAAATCAATTACACCACCGCCAGATTCTGGTATTGAGATACTGAATGTATTTGTAATTTCTAAAAGACTTCATATTATTCGTTCCTATACAAAATTTTTTTGATGTGTGTATTTACAAGTTGCCCCATAAAAAAATTATCAAAATTACTTCAATAATTTAGTGTTTCAATGAAAATAAGTGGTTTAACCTTATTGAAGTTGTTTTTTTTTTTGTGGAACATAATTATTTATTAATGGAAAGTTGATTTTTCTTACTATAGCATATGGCTGAAATTGGTATGATGGAACCGATTTCAGTGGTGTTTCCTTAAAGTTACATGGCTTGTAGGATTGTAAGGTTTGTAAGTAATTTTTGTGTTTTAGATGCAGAATCACCAGAGGTAGACCGGTTTACTGTCCAACTGAAAAAAGACGAGAATGGCCTTGGTATTACAATAGCAGGTAAATAAATATTTATATATACATTGAAATCTTGTACTGAAAAGACCTTATAATAATAAACACAAATTCTTATGGAGTATTCATTGTAGAAGAGGAGTTCATAGTAGTTATTGTGTGCACACTTGCTTGCACTCTGGACAAATTCAAACATATTAGGTATTTGTTTAATACGCTGGTGGATCCATATACGTAATGCGCCGCCACTCAGGGCCCATACTAACAGTTAAATCCTGACTTACCGCAGCTTTGGGGGCGCATTTCATGAATTATTTGCTTAAATTGAACTTACAGGATACGTTTGCGAGAAAGAAGAGTTGTCTGGCATATTCGTGAAGTCCGTGACACCAGGCAGCGCGGCCGCTCTGAGTGGGAAAGTCCGAGTCAACGACCGCATTGTGGCTGTCGACGGCGTGTCGCTTGCTGGCAAGTCCAACCAGCGCGCTGTTGATGCACTCAAGCAGAGTGGGAGCATTGTCACATTAGAGTTGGAGAGGTAAATTATTTTATATAAAAATAAAAAAGTTATTTTGTATAATATTAGTACACTTTTGTCAACAACTCCATATGCGTGAATTTCAAAAGTAGATAACCAGTTTTAGATGTAATCATAGGTTATATCAGTACTGCAATGTCTGTATTAATATGTAATAAATTGCCTTTGTACAATTTACTACTTACTAATATTTTGTAAAATAAGAAGTAAAAATGTTAAATTATTAAAAGAAATTATTTATAATAATACGTCTATACTAATATTGTAAAGAGGTAAATTTGTGAGTATGGATGTTTAGGGTAATTTCTCATACTACTGATCCGATTTTGAAAAAATAAATAAATGTTTCTACTTAGATATCTGCGTGGGCCAAAGTTTGAGCAGCTACAACAGGCGATTGCTGCGGGCGAGAGCGCGGCGGCAGGCGGCGTGACTACCGTACACAACCCCTTCCTACATATGCACCGGCCCGAGCCGCCACTCACGCCCGACCGCGACATGCAGATGACGCAGCTGCACAACAAGTATGTACCTCTTCAAATATATATATAAAGACAATATATACGTACAAGGTAAAATCGTTAGCATCCCTTTAAGAGAGAATAAGATAACAAAAAATTTTAGTCTCCTATACCAATTATTATTTGGCAATTCAAAGAGGTAATGCCGATAGTATCTTGAATATGCTTCCTCGATATGGTGCGTTGCGAGACTATTTATAATCAGTTGTTAGTGTTATTATTTATAAAATTGAATTAATATTTTTAATAAGTAATAATTTTGACATGAGACTGCATAGTTAAGTAAAGTTACGCATATGCAGTTTGGACGGTGTATCCCCGCCGCGCAGTCCGCCGCCGGCCGCGCCAGCCGCGCCCGCCGCCGCCGCCGCGCCGCCACGACCGCACCCGCCCTTCGAGATGCCGCGCACCAATGAACAGAAGGAAGCTATCAAGCGCAAGTGGCAAGCTATACTTGGTAACTGTTTGTTATCTCAATATGTTCCAAAAATATGGTCCGATGATATTGTGTATCACCATATGTGTGATGTTTATAATGCTGCTAGTACCTACAGATACTATTCATTAGGTGGATCGTCAGTTTTTTCTTAATTGCATGAAAAAATTGCTTGTCATTGCATTTAATATGTAATTGAGTGTGTCATTGGAGGTAAAAATGGTAATGTAATATTTATGTATATGTATTATGTATGTATGTAGTTTTTTTGGCAATATTTTTTTTCTATTCCTATTCTTAATATTTCTAGGCCCGGAAGTGGAGATCGTGGTCGGCGTAGTGGTACGCGGTGGCGGCGGTCTCGGCATCTCGCTCGAGGGGACGGTGGATGTGGAGGGCGGGCGCGAGGTGCGACCCCACCACTACGTTCGTTCCGTGCTGCCGGAGGGACCCGTCGGCCGCGCCGGCGTTCATCGGCCCGGGGATGAGCTGCTTGGTACGGTGCTACGGCATGAATATTTTCAGTTCCCAAGATATTACGTTAACAATCTTAAAATAAAATTCTACTACACTATTACTACTTAATACAGCATGAGTTTCAGTAGACCATGGTTACTTCCCAGTTTTGACATAAAGAAGCAAATGTACCATAAATCAGTATTTGGACTGTGCTTCATTTTTTTCTGTATAATTTTGTTGCATTTGAGTCTATGAAGTTATAACTACAATAGAAAATACTTATTCACAACAGATTTCACAGAATTACAGATTCAAGTAGAAGATAAGTATTTACTTGAACATTGCATAGTGCTTCATTCTTATTATCACGTCATGATTATAAATTGTCTATGTTGGTAATGTCGAGCAGAGGTGAACGGTCACCGGCTGCTGGGCATGAACCATCTGGAGGTGGTGTCGATCCTGAAGGAGCTGTCGAGCGAGGTGTGCATGGTATGCGCCCGCCCGCGGCCACCGCCAGCGCTCGACCTCGCGCCGCCCGCCGCCACCCTCGTCAAGGTATCATTTTTTTTTTAATGGATGATAATGGAATGCCAATCCCACCTGTACTGAGAGTACAGTAGTAGTTGATAGTTTACGCTTATGATCACCAGTGAGGGACGATAGGTGAGGATGAAGCAAGTCACTTGGGCCCATTGTGATGAATTCATCAAAGAATAACCACGATGGTTTTGATATATATATATATCTTTATCTAAGGTAAATCTTTCTAGTTTTTTGACACATAACAGGCTGTAACTGTATCGATCATCGTGTTTATTCCTATTAAATTACAAAATTTTGTACTTGGCCTATCATTTCTGTAAATGCTAATGGCTGTGTTAATTGGCAGGCGAAGTCGGACGGCAGCCTGGCGGGCGCGGGCGCGGAGGAGGGTGGCTCTCTGGCGGCGGCCGGCAAGGTGCGCTCGCGCAGCCTCGAGCCGCTCACCGGCCTCGCCATGTGGTCCTCTGAGCCGCAGATCATTGGCACGTATACTCATAACTACTCCATTTGTTGTTATTATAGCTTCAATTCAGAGTATTTTACAGACAATCTGTTTGGTACTTACCATATACAATACATTAAGGGGTGTCCTGGTATTGCCTACATTGTATTTTATTCTATGCTTGAAAAGAGACACCAATAATTAGTCACTAAGATACAAATTTTGAAGATAAAAAATGTCTCATATTAAAATCTAAAATATATACATAAAAAAATTGAGAATAAAATTGTTGCGAAATCGTGCTTGGAAAAAAGAATAGTTAATATAGGTATAATAAATAGTTCTCCATAATAAAGAAATCAGAATATGGTCCCGTCATATTCATTTCATCACAAGAAACTTGATGTAACTAAAGGAATGAAGTACAATATTATTGGACTTATACTACAATTTAAAGAACCTTTCACTGTAGTCCTATGGATATTTCTAGATAGAGTTATTGTATGGAGCGTGCAACATGAGACTTGCATCATTCTTATTCCTTACATTGTGCTAATATCTTCTTTTTATGAAGGTGTCTCTACTAATATCACTAACCAACAAGTTGTCTACTCGCGTCCAGCAATGAGATGAGATGACATCACATAATTGGCGAGTTATTTTGATGATAATGACCTAAACAAGTCGGTATAATATACAGAATTGGTGAAGGGCGAGCGTGGCCTCGGATTTTCGATCCTGGATTACCAGGATCCACTTCGGCCGGCACACACGCTGGTGGTGATTCGTTCGCTCGTACCCGGCGGCGTTGCACAACAAGATGGCCGCCTTATACCCGGTGATCGACTGTTATTTGTCAATGACCAGGTATTTTAGCCCATCTGTTATTTTTCTTTAATAGTCTATTTATATCTTGGTGTTTTATATTTGTAAAAGTCTAAAGTATGTACCAATTCATAGGATTACTGTTTTATTTTCTGGTTCGAAATAAATAAATCTACATTTCATCTCCTATGAGGACGTCATAAACCGCATTTGAATGTTTGAGGTCGTATTTAAGCAACATCTTTGATCACCATTTAACACAAACTTGTTTTTGATTCAGCGTCAGTTTATCATTAAGCTAAAACAAATTTTCCTAACTTTTAATTCTTTATGATTTTTTTTTTAATTTGACCTATATGGATTTCCATGTGTCCCCAAATCTTCTAATAGCTAATACGTAGTTTCGTAATAATTTTGATGCTGAGTGACACAGACTTGAAGAGAAAGATTACTTTTAAAATCATAGAAAATCACTCAATGAACTTAAATGTATAAAAAAAATTTCCCCGCCATTTTTTTTCTTTTCTAAATAACTGATAACGTTTTATGTTTTAAAAATAATATCATTCGAAATCCAAACAGTCGCGGTAAGCCTAAAGTGCAAAACTTTTAATGTGTCCAATGTTATAATAACAATTGAATTTAATATTAACGATTCAGTTTGTTGTTACTTGTTATTTTTAATATCTTTTTATAAATAGAATTACATATCACAGATGCGTGTGTCCTCCTTTCTCCCCATTGACATCATGAAGAAATAATGTAGTTAAAAAACTATGTTATCACGTATAATCGAGAATACATATAGCATAATAGCAAATCAGACCAAATCGTTCTCAAACGATGTGATTACTAACAAAGATTTTTATTTATATAGAAATTGACTAATATTTACATATTTATAGAATCTGGAGGACGCGAGTCTAGAGCAAGCGGTGGCGGCGTTGAAGGGTGCTCCACGTGGTGTGGTCCGTATCGGTGTTGCGAAGCCGTTGCCTCTCGCGGACGCGCCGCCACCACTTCCTGCCACCGCACCTCCTACAACTATCGCCGACCATGTACCCGAGTCTTAATCACTTAAAGTCATCAGGTATTTAACGGTTAGTAGCGAAGGTACTGTCACGCCCACAGAAAACGAACACAGATGACTAATATCTCATTCTAATTTCAATTTCTCTTAGTAAATGTCGTAAATCATATTGTGTTAACATATATTTGTTTTTTATATGTGTCACAAATGTATAGAATAATATTACACTTAATCTTTTATTCCAAAAATTATCAAACTTCTTCTGAACTTATTTTTAGTTATTAGTGTTTTAGCTTTTGCGCTGAATTTTCAATTTAAAATGAAAAAAAAAAAAACTAATTGTTAAAAAAGGTATATAGTGTAAATACATTTTATCATGTCATTACGAAGGTCGTCGTAATTTGTTTTCATAAGTATAATTTCGATTTATTGTCATAAGAGGCGACGTGTAATTGTATTGTTAAGGCCTCAATTAATATGGGTGTGGTAGACTTGAGATATTTTTTTTCGTATTTGTCATCAAAAATTACATGTATATATCAAAGGTAAATGTATTGATGGCGTTGACTGATTTTACATAATCGTAATATATATTCAATTATTATAAAACATGAGGCACATTTTCTTATAAATAAATATGATATACAATCAGTAAAAACATACCTACGTACCATTACTGATAATTTTATGAAAAATTAGGTCAAATAAATAGTTTATCTATGATAGTCGTTATATTTATAGAATAAATTTTAAATTACATAAATATATTGAATGAATTTTTTTATTCGTTATTTTATTAAAGCCATTATGATAACCAATGAACGACAATAATTCCAATATGAACATTCCATTTAGATATGTCACAAATTTTTATTATAAATACTTTATACTAAAAAATGTTTAGTTCATGTATTCAATCCAATCAATTTTAATGTTTAAAACTGTATTTTCGTTAGTTCTTTATCTTTTTGCAAAAAAATATTGTTTTAGTGTTATGGATCACCAAATTGGCCAGTTTAGAACTATCTTTAACCCCAGATGCTAGTGGTGTTATTGACCTTTCTCTGTGAGTGGATGTGACAATATATTCTGAACCAATTTCCATGTATTTTTTAGAAAATTAATTTCATTTGGATCATATTAGAGGGCAATTGGTTTGACTGTTACTAGATAATGCATTGATATTTAATAATATTTCAATAATATTTATGTTTATCAATATAATTATTAGATATTATCAGAGTTTCTTGAATGTTATTAGGAAACGTGTCAGATGCGTGTATTGATATGTATATATGATAGTATAGGCACACTAAATCAATTTCTACAATTATGATATGTCGATAATATATAGTAGTAAGCTTAATTAGTAACAAGCAAATAAAAAGTTTAGATAAGTCGGCAGAAATTTGTTTTTGTCGTAAGATAATATCGATGTTTTTGGATTATCGTTTTCCAACATAATTTTAACTAAAACTGTAATTTTTTCCAAAGAGAACAGTTGAAATATAAAAATAATTTATGAATCTTTCAAATTATGATTACGAAACCGTGTGTTTTGTATAAGAGTTAAAATATATTTTCTATTATTATTTTCATGATCAATATCATGAATACTTTCTGGTTTTGGTTTATTATAACCGTTCCATTATACGCAGCATACTAAACGGACGACGCACCCGTTCTCTGCCCACCGTGAGAGGGACCTGGCGTGAAGATACTGGTAGAGATCGGTACATATAATATAAATACTCTATTTATGTTTTTTCACTTGACACTTTTTAATATTAAAAGTCCATAAATGACAAGTATAATTTACCGATAAAGTATTTCTATTACCTGATTAATTGTTAGATAATACAATATTTATACAAGTTTTAAATTTATACATAGATGATGTATTTTAAAGAAATATCATAATTTACTATTGCAATTGAATTTACTATTGTTAAGTAAAATAAAAAATATAAATAAATAATTTGGGTTTTAATTAAATAAACAAGATAATTTAAAAATTATTTAATTTTTTTCTGTAACAAAAATATAATCTATGTACCCCTACATTAATATGAATCACATTAAGTCCCTAATTGAGCAACACATTATTATCATAATAAAATAATTTACACTCCTTTCCCTACATTCTAGAATTTACTTCATTCTTTATAAAATCCTTCTATAATATCTTTGTATTTCTCATAAACCACATTTCTCTTAATTTTAAGTGTTGGTCCTGTAAGAAAAAGAAGGATCATTTTAGTAAACATTACAAAATATATGTCAGGAAATATTATCTGAGATTTATATTAATTCTAAAAGTTGAATTTGTGACATTGAAATAGCAACCTTATACAGAAATATAGAAGGTTGTTATTTCAGTGTCACAAATTACTAAAATACCAATAGGGTCGAATTTTCATTGATTACAAATAAGTATAAAGTTATATTAATGTTGCGGTGGGTATTTATGGCAGCTTGTCAAAATATAATACCTTTTTATCCAGAAAAATGTATCATTATCAAGTGAAAGTACAAAAAAAAAAATGTAGATGCAACTTTTATCATTAAACGTTATATAGTTTCAATTATACCTAATTCTCCCGAAGCTAACGAGAAATCAGCGGGCAGGATAGCGACCTTCTGTATTTTCTGTGCATTAGAAATGGCGTGTTTATTTGCTCGCTTGATGCCATCTTCGATTGCTTTTTGTACCTGTAGAAAAAAAAGTAAAATCATAATGCATACTTTTTTTTTTAATATTTACAAATGTCACAATAAAGGAACGTCTATTTTTTTAGTAGTAGTAGTATTATTATTATTAGTATTATATTATAGTATTATTATTTTGCGTTAAATAATATAAATAACAATACTCACTACTGGATCCTTAGAGTTATAAATTTCACTAATTGTGGTCGCTTTGCTACCTAGACTGGCCACCCATCTCTTAGTTTCACTTTCTAACTCGTCCAGTGCTGCACCTGTTTCCGTGTTAATTTTAGCCTGAAATGTTAAGGGTTACGTTTACATATACAATGGTTAAATCCGACTAGGAGAAGAATACACGAAAAAAGAAAGAAAATGTAATATCTATGAACATTTAATATATTCGAAGTGAAATCGAAATATATACCATAACTAAAACATACAAATTCATTTTAACTATTACACTATTTTGTCACTTTCTATCAAACGGGATAATTAGTAGAAAAGAAAAACAATATAGTTTAATAGCTAAAATTATGAGAATTTGATGTTTTTGTGAATAAGGGGCTAGGAATTTAACCATGTAGTAAAATTATAGGTATCTATTTATTAGGGCAGAAACTTTTTAAAACAAAAATTTTAAAATGACTGTATTGTATTTGTACCATATTTTATTATTTATCAACCGATAGGAAAATTGAATTTGACTGTTAAACCTCCTTTAAAAGGATGCTAATGATTTCGATTTCACTCTTTATACCTCCAAGGTCACGCCTAGACTCTGATATAGGTGTGCAGAAACCTGCAAATACTAAAATCGAATTTACCTTAAGCGTGACTATCATGGAGAGGAACTTGCGTTTATCGCCGATAAGCACCGCATACCCAAGATGGGGTAACTCCGCCTGAACTAACTGCTCGATGGGCACTGGAGCAACGTTCTCACCGCCCGCTGTTATTAGCAGCTCCTGTAGAAGACGCCAATAATTGAAGAGTTTGTTTGTTCTATAAATAACATGTACTTTATGATCCACAAAAAAATACAGGGACTTTGATCGTAACAAACCAATAAGAATGAATCAATATGAATGAACCAATAATAATGAATGAATGGCAAAAAAATCATGAATCCATAAAATTTACAGACGAATTAAAACTTCCTATTTTAGAAGCTGCTTAAAAACTAATTCAAATTTTGAATAAACTAGTATAGGACCAACATGAAAATAAATGATTTCCGATAAAAGAATACGTAATAAAAATCCGTTCAAAATTGGAGCACATATAGAATAACATGATATAAACAAAAAAAATATAGTCAAATATGGATGCTTCTTTTTAAAGTCGGTTGGAAATATAAAGAACATACTTCTTTTTTTAATGTATGAATGTTTTTACTTTATTTGCATTATACAATATAGGGAATAAGTAAGACAATTCATAAATGTAACTATACAGTGACTAGGTACTAGCCGTCATCTACCACTTTTATAGGCAGATGTGTGGTACTGACTGTTTATATGACAATATAATAAAATTAACTAAAATAGAATAAATATTTTGAAAAGCATTTAATGTAAAAGTTTCTCGTCTATATAAATAAAAGTCAAATACCAAATGTATGTAAGCGCATGACTTCAGTACGGCTGCGGTTGTTAGGAAAAAGTTTGAAAGAAAATTATTTAGAAATCGTACAGAAAAGTTACAATATTGGGTAAAGTTTCCATATAAAAATGGGGGAGTACTATAAAGGGAAGAGTTGGTCTCATTCTCTTCATTAGTGCATCTGTATAAAGCCGAGGCAGTCAGCTAGTTTATAATATCACGTTTTAATTAGCAGTGGAGGAGATAAGGTAATAGGTATTTAAAATGTTATCAGATATTAAATTAATTACGACGATATGACATCTTATCTTTCGCTACTCAATAAATGTTATGTAATATAGGTATTTGGGGGGACAGGGATTGTTAGTAGTGACATCCAACAGGCTCTTTACTAGCAATATATCTTAACAGGTCGATCTCCACGCGGTTCCCCCTGGAAACCATCGTGGTTAATTTTTGATGAATTCATCACGATGAGCTAACTGACCTACATTTTTATTCTCACCTATCATCCCTCACTGGTGGCCCGCCAGCGTATACCGTTAGCGCAGCTGGGGTGACCATTCCATTATCATCCATTAAAAAAAAGCATATATGTAAGGACGTGATTCTACGTATTAACATTTCTATGTAGTATCTATGAAATTTCTTGTATATAAGGTAGATATCCAAGAAATATCTTTTCGTTTATTGGCTTATGTGTGTTCACGGTAATATACACTTGTTTAAATTCGTGTTAATATAAGCAACGAATCTTACTTTGATTCTGCCAGTGATGTACAATAAGTTATGACTGTCGAGCCTGCCAATATCGCCGGAGTGCAGCCAGCCGTCTGAGTCCAGTGCGTCATTAGTTTTCTCTACTTCGTTAAGGTAGCCCATGAGGACGTGGCGACCGTTCATCATGATTTCCCCGGGTCCATTAGGGCTTGGTGAACCTCCAAATTTAGTTTCTGCCCCACCTAGTACCTCCCCACTTGAATCTAATTTGAATCTGAAACAAGTGGACGTTATAACTTTCAAAAACTCTTTCTGATGTCTCTTTCAGGACTTCATCTCTAAAAGTCTCACCAACCTACCTCTAAAATTAAATTTTAAACTTATGGTGGAACAAAATTAATATTTTTTTTTTATTTTACTTATTGGATAATACAGGTAATTATAAATACTAATGCATATAATGCCCTATAAACGTCACGCACATTGTGGATTGTGAGTTTCTGGTAGAAATCTTAGAGACTTACCATCAGTTATACTATCAGCTTGCTGTTTTAATTCGCATAAAAACAATGTACTGTATCCGTACTCATAAATATGAAAGTGGGTTTGTTTTTTGTTGCGTTTGAGTGTCATAATGGCTAGACCAATTATCGTGAAATTTGATAGACACGTATTATTTGTGTAGAAGAAAACAATTTTTTATGCAATTTAGAATGGCAAACAAGATGACGGCCCACCTGATGAAAAGTGGTAACCATCGCCTATAGACATGAACAGTACCATGGACATGCGTTGCCATTCCTGAGGACTTAGGTGTTATTTCTCTGTACCCTGTAAATTCACTGCCATATCCCATCCTTAAAACCAAAACATAGCCATGCAAACACAACTGCTTCACGGTAGAAACACAAATAGAACAGAGGTGCCCAAGCAAACGACTTTTGTACAAAGTCTCCCTCTGGTATGGTATATATATGATATATAGTATATAGGCTACTATTTATCCCGTTCAATCATTATATCTCGGTCACGCAGAGGAAGTCGCGAGTAAAAATTAGTGTACAATAGATATAAAATATATGTACATATCTTTACCTGGGATAGATGCTAAGTGTGTGCGCGCCAGCGAGTTCACTCATTCCAAAAGCCTCCATAATTGGTATGTCTAGTGAGAGGAAAAACTTCTTGATATCTGGCGACAGCGGGGCCGCTGATGTTACGAATGTCGTGCACTTATCCAAGCCCAGGGTATAATGTACTTTGTTAAACACCAGTGACTTCGCCATTTTGTATCCGAACGATGTGCCTTGTTGCCTGTCGTATGAATTGTTATAGATAAGTAATTTGTGATGGCAGTTTGTTCAAAAGTTACGTTAAATGCTCAGATAACAACTGAAAAAATATTTATATGGAAAAGGTATCAGCGACACACATAGATATATTTATTTCGCCACATCGGCAAAAAATTTTAAAGGTACGATCAATAACGAAACAATAAGAAAAACAAGATGGCTAGTGTTTGTTATATGCATGGAAGTGTATGTAAGTAGATGGTACTAATTTAGCGCCATTTCCAGCTTTTATTTTTGGTGCACCAGTAACATTAAGTACGTAATCATATCTAATTTTTCTTCTATTATAATATCACTGAGCGATAGTTGATTTTTAAACAACCGTTTACAGAATTTTGCGTTTGAGACTCTATTCGTGATGGAAATTTTTGTATTTTCCCATGTATTAAGACATTTTCTTGCCTTAAAAAGTAATTTCAATGTTGAATCTAGTAGGCGTACTAAATTATCACCATAGAAAAAATTATCCAAATATGTTCAGCAGTTTTTATATGATGCATGCAGAGTTTAGTTACAGTTTTATTATAATAAAGAATGTCGAAACTTTTATATTGATTTCTTAACGAAATGGATGTTTTAAGTAGACAATCGATCACACTAATGTAGACATATATTAAGCTTTGGAACATAAGATTTATCAAAGATAATTACATACAGATTATGTAGAAGATTGATGGAGTGTTTATTATCAAGTGCATTAAAAAATCAACTTCTTATATTCATTACATAAGTTTTAATTTTAAAATTATGTAGACATATTATTAAGCAATGGACAATGAATAGCTGGATTTATGTGTATCAGTTTTCCTTACATATCTACTATGTATGTACAGATATTGCCTAGTTACAATTTTATATGATAACTTCGATCATAGTGGTCGATATTTCTAAACAGAAATAGATCTCGATAAATATATGAAGATAAACCATAGTAAGCTAATCCTTCCGATAATAATCTAGATGTTTTATTATGTTAGGTATATTTTAGTAGATAAGTATAATTGACTTACGAAACTCAAGAAGTTATGAGCATATGGATAATATTATCCTTCTTCTATCTAATCTATATAGATTACATGTGAATACTGAGTACATAGGTAATTTTTACGGCATGCACTCATACTAAAATATCATTATCAGGTATCTACTACTAATAGGGATTTGCCTAATTACACACAAACTAGGTACAGTACATTTTTCATGCAGTCAAAATAGAAACAAAATACTATTTAACTACGCATTCAAGTTCACGTGACGTACCAGTACTGTAACATTTCGAGGGTGGAGAAGTCTATAGGAAGACCCCGCATATCGGCTGTAAGGCAACTGACGCACAAAAGTTTTATTAGACCTACTTCTAGATAATTACATATAGAATAAATGGAAAAATACAGGTTGAAATTTAAATCTTAGTTGTTCTTTTATGTGATTGTTATGTTTTTCCACTTATATCTAAGTGGAAAAATGTTATTTTCATGGGAACATGAAATACAAAATTAAAAGAAATGTTTTTTGAGCCTTTCATATTAACATGAAGTTATAGCAGATTGAATGTTTGGTCATTTTTTAATTTCTGATTTACGAATTTAGAACTTCCCATAGTAACATAAAAGTGTTGTTTTGGAAGCATATTTATGTTTGGAAGAACTATTTAGTGGTGTATATGAAAATCTCATAAACTTTTACGACTTTTAAACTCTTGTTTCATTGGAAAAAATTTTGTTTATCACTGGTAGAATACGCCCTTAAAAGGATGCATAGTAGATAGGATTAATAGTTACAATTTCACTCTGTGTTATATAAGTATACCTACTGTATTTTGGCCGTTCAGATATTAACAATACAATTATACCTGTATTTTTTAGCAAGTGAACAAAAATTTGTCAAGTGTAAATAGCGTAACTACAACGAGCGTGCCGTTTGTGTTTCATGTATGTAAATACCTATTTCCCTAAACTGCATAACATTATTATTTTGATATATATATCATTACTATCATGTTTTGCGTCCATATTAACTTGAAAATAGTTATTTTTGAGTGGAAGTAACATAGATTTCTGTTATTGCAAGTTGATTTTTGATCTCATGTCTAAAAACTATGCAAATTTTAATATATCCTTGACTATAGATAGTTTCTGCGGAAAATATTCTCTACAAAAAAGAACACATATAAATAATATAATATTTCGGTCTTATATTTTGAATACAGATTAATTATTCATTATAAGATGATTTAGACCATGATCAAACTTTATTTAATGTCCAGGAGTAAACTCACCCATCAATCCTAGCAAGATGGTGCTTGAGACCTTTATCTTTTGCCCAGTTTGCAATGTATCTGGTGAAGAAACCACTCGAAGCGCCAACTGCTACTATCTTCTCGTGCATCTTCTCCCATACTCTAGGTACAGCCAGAAATCTATTGATAAAGATATAAATAAAGGTTGTTATAATAAAATTGTATATTAGTAAACGAATAATTAGCATAATTTAAGAAAAAGTATTATATTAGTAAAACTAAATATATATAGTTTGGAAGTATTTGTCGGAGTCATATAAGTAAGTACATATTAGATACCTATTAATAAACAAATCATATTGTATAACATAAACCCAGAAAGTATTCCATACCTATTGAACTTGCGGAAAATGCTCAGTTGTCGTCAATAATATTCAGATAACAATGAGTTAAACTAACATTATAAAATACTCAGAGGTATACGGATGTAGCTTCGGATGTAGGTATTTAAGCAGTGAATTGTATTTTTAAGCGACTTTAAGGAGAAGGTGATAACCTTCTCCTTTGTTTTGTCTATATTTTTAACTTAAAAAAAAGAAGGTTCTTAATTCGGTTATATTTTTTTCTATGTTTATTACCTCAGAGCTCTGTCAGATCTAAACCGATTTGGAAAATTATTTTTTACTCACATATTGGTAACAAAAAAATCATTAAAATAACTGGTCTTGTCACAATTGAAGTTTTTTTTTTTGTGGAATACAATCCTTAATTATTTTATTTATGTTACGTGATATTTTCACCAATTTGAACTGTACCTCATAATTATTTTTGTTTCAATTACGTTTACACCCGTATTGGTCGCATACCTATTAATTTTGCCCCACTTAAAAAAAAAATATTACATAAATGAAATTAAGTTGGTATCGAATTTATTATCACATATCTAAAAAAGGTAAAATTTTAAAAATTTTGATTACAAAGGTAGTCTTACAGACCTCAACAATAATTACCCTGAAAAAAACTTACCTAGTAGGTCTAATTTCTTTCAGCGTTTCGACTAGACTGCCTTTCAGTGCGTCAGGTTGAGCGAAAAATACAGTAACGCCGTGCATTAATGTGGTGTAAATGTCCACTACCTGTTAACGAAAATTTCTATTTAGACTGTCTACTACCTGTTAACGAAAATTTCTAGACTTGCAGAACTAATGACTTGTAGATAGGTCAATGTAGGTATATAGAAAGATTTAGATGTAAATAATAAAAATCCTGTGTCGTTCTTTGTTCGTCAAATCTTAAAACGGTAACCGATTATTCAAAACTTATTATATTATCATTGATTTTAATGAAATTTTGCAAATGTGTATTATTTGTTCCAACTTAAGAGATAAAATAGTTTTTTTCTCCAATAAGGAAAAATAGACCCATCCGATAGGATGCGGAAGAAAGCAAAACGACGTTTACCGGGTTAGCTAATAATAAAATAAATGGATTGAAGATGAATGTACCTGTGCAGCGACATGACTTAGAGGCAGAAAAGACACTAGTCTCTCGCCGACCTGGAGATCAGCCACGCGCTGACCGATGGAAAAGGCATCCCAGGTTAGGTTGTCATGAGACAGCATCACAGCTTTCGGTGCACCCACTGTTCCTGACTGCAGTTAGAAATTTGTTTACAAACATCATATACCTAGCTACCTAGCATAATCAGTTAAAATACGAGATAGTTTTAATTTTTACTAATATTATAAATGTGAAAGTGTATGTTTGTTTGTTACCTTAGAGCGCCTTAAAGGCTTAACCAATCACTACGAAATTTAGTACACACGTACTATATGAGATGCAAAAGGATATAGGCTACTTTTTATGCCGGTCAGCAAACATATCCTAGTCACGAAGCCGCGGGTAAAAGCTAGTAAAGAATAAATAATTGAGTTACATATCTTTTAGAGAACATATCTAACTCTATTCGTATAGAGATCCTTCTTTCCTTTTCGAACTAACTAGAGGTAGTTAAAATATTGCTTGCATCATTTGAAATACAGCGGCTTTACCCATCTGAATTAATAGGTAGATATATATAGCCAAGTGTTTATATAGTATATAGTCTATATACTAATATTGAATTTGGATTGAGTAATAAATATTTCGACTTCCTCGTAGGATTTCAACTTTCATTAGAATTCCAAATTTTATGCAGTTAGACATGGTGGATTATAATGGTTTGTTTGTTATACATTTGTACATATATAACATATATAATGTTAAATAAATTTTGATTTCAACTATACAGTAGCAAGGCATTCTATCAAATATGTTCCTTACCGTATATACCAAGGTGCAGCATTCATTCACAGCCATTTCTTTCAGTATTGAATCCAATTGTGTATCATTTTCTTTCTGACCGATCTCTAGAATTTGTTCCCACTATAAAAGAAAAAAAAAAATCAATATTACTATTTTTACTGAATTAGTTATTTGGTCTGCCTAATAGTTACTGTTTTTTATTATTTTATTTTAATGTCATTGGTTACTGTAACCTATGGGGACGAATAGAAACAGAGATTATTTAGGAATAGGAGTAGAAGATAATTTAAGAAAATATTATAGTGGCCTTCATTGAGTTCTATCATTTACAGTCATAATAGAATCAAATCTTTTGAGGCTGCACTTTAAAACAGGCTTTTTGAAATCATTTAGATTGCAAGGAAAATTACATTATTACTACTAAACGATTTACAATAAGTAAATGCTGAATTTACAGATTGTAAAGATGATCACATTATATGAAGCACATACATTTAGGCGTATGCCTCAGAAACTCATATTTGTATAATACTTTCCGTTAGTAAGATACATTACGTTAGTTTAGAAAGTACTCGTAGGTACTGTTTTTTAAAACTAAAAAAAATATATTTAGTTTTAACAAATGAGAAATGTCATATTTCATTTGTAAATAATAGTGCCTAATAAAAATATTTTCTAATGTCATGAATATTCATTTAGTTCCTTTCAATAGTAAGGATCAAATGGTTGGTTAATTTTTAACGCTTAACCACAGTAGAACCATTAGAATATAAGTAAATATGTGTCTACACCCGCTTCATATTATATTGTTTTAGATAATTACAGTGCGATAATTCAATTAGATGGGGGGAAAGGGATTATTAGTAATGGAGACTGAGAATCCCATTGCTAGCAATATACCCAACCAGGTCGACCTCCTCGCGGTTCCCCCTGGAAACTATCATGGTTCATTCATTCATGGCCTGTTTTCATTCTCATCGATCACCCTTCACTGGTGCCCCGCCAGCGTATCCCGTTAGCGCAGGAGGGGTTACCATACCATTTTCACCCATCAAAAAAAGTTCAATTAGATACCTACACCATTAACTAACAAATTTAGACCGAAATTAAACCGATGAAATTTTCAATTCGACTGTATTTTTATAACATTAATTATGTACTATATCTTCTAAAATTATATAATCTAGTATATCGATTTGGATGATTATTTTTTGCGATCATTAGAATAGAGGTGACGAACAAATGACGCGGCTGAAATGCGCTGAAAACAAAAACGTTTATATTTTACGTAACATGTGTGTTGATAACAAAGTTCAAATTGTAAATTCAGCTTGCATTCAGTTAAAAGTAACAAAGTGTTGAGTCCAATTAGATAGGTAAATACGAGTATTTGGCGTCTAATTTATTACAGTGGAAATCATATTAAGATTAGCAAATAATAAGTTTGTAAAAGGTATAACATAGTTACATTATTTTTTATTTCCTTTTACTAAACTATTTCTTTTTAATAAAAAAAAGGTATGTTAACCCATACAGATTCATCATTTCTACAATAGGATTTACTTTCATGGTAGTTCCATATTGATTTTGTCCCGATTGAAGTCTGTTTTTAGTGTCACAGAAAATCTTATTTAATATTTACAATATAAATATTGTACATTGTTAATATGAATTGCGTGTTTACAGACTTATAGAAAACAGTAGCAGTTTCAAATTCTACCGTCACAAAATTATAAACTCCTATGTTGTTAGTAAACCCTATAGATTGCAAAAAGAATTATGATAATCGATTCAGAATCGGCAACGCGTATCTACACTCGTAAAAAACCAGATGATTTAAGAACAATATTAGTAGGTAGTAATTACTAGGAAATCCCCCTTATAAAAACTAAAAAAAACTATTTCAACTATTAAAGTGTTTAGTCGCTATTTTTGAAATAGAGAAATTAGTATAAAAGAAAAAAGCAACTCATAAAGTTAAAATAAGTTTATGAGAGGTTTAATGTTTTTATAAATATGGTGGTTAATTGATTAATGCCTATAATATATTTATATATTTTATCATCATATCCGTACATTATTTATACAGAGGACGGCGAATAATCCCGTAAGTATCTAACCTACTACCTTTGATAATGATAAGAACGTATAGGTACCACTAATATCATTATCTAAGTGTAAATAAAAGATTTGTATATTTCGAAATAACGGATTAGATATTAATTCCAAAGTGCAGTTAAATCAATAAAATAATAAGTAGTTATAATCTAGTGCATAGTGAGATTATAATAATGTAACGTATAATATTTCATAATACAGATAAATTTTTTCAAAGATATGGTATTCGTAATTTTAACAAATGATTTTTTCTTTTTATTTCGACATGTATATAGTTAAAGCATTAATAAACCCAAGACACACAGTTTCATATTTAGACAGGTGATTAATTAGGTATAATTTAATAAAAAAAAAATAGGCTCATAAGGGATACCCTTATGATGTCTTAATGCCTAACTAGACATGAGTGGTGTTGCGCCTAACACCGTGGTAATTGGAGAAAGTTGGTAAATTCAGTTTGCTGACATAAGTTTTTGTATTCTACATTACATTTACAATATATTTAAGTGATCTTGCTTTTCACCTTTTTACTTATACATACTATAAAGATTAAGAGTGCTTCTCTAGGCAGTAAGTAAATTGTACTTTCCCTTTTGGTTTTAAAGCGACTTTCAGGAAGTTCTCAAACTCGTTTGTATTTTTACAAGTACGAGTATATTTATTACGTGATCTCTTCGCCTATTGCATGATTCTTGCAAACTTTGAGCTTAGTAATAGGAAATATTATTTTTAAATGTTCCCAAAATAGTACTATGTGACTTTTGTTAATAATTTTAAGATTGTTTAATGTAAATAAACTCAGTTCATTTCATTTTATTAAAACTTATGTTTATTTTTTTATGAATATCTATGTATATACAGATACAACGGAAAAATATTTTTAAACTATGTTATCTTTAGTGACCTATGCAAAATTAATAAATAAATGGGAAAGTAATCGCAATAATTCTTTTTTTTTATAATCGATAAGGATTACTTCCGTGCTTGGACATACCAATTTTACTACAGTCTATCAGTTCCAACTTTTAGGGGAACCTGCAGAATAGTTATTTTCCGCTTTTTTGAGACATGATATGATATGAAATAAATATATTTAAACACATACCGAATAAAGTCCTGGTATTGAAGTGTCGACAGGAGCCTCCCATTGTACTATAGCCTTCAAGGAAGGTAGTCTGTTTCGGACTGACAATATTTTGTCGAGCTGCTTTTTGTCCTGTACTACACATATGTTGGCGCGAGACGATAGTAGGCAATGGAAGCAAGCTTCGGCTGAATTCGTTGTGTAGATACCCGCAGCGAAACCTCTGTATTTAAAAAGATAAATAATTGAGAATTGGTAGAAAATCTATTAAAAAAGTGTTTGTTTTAATTAATATTCATTGTGTATTAATTAATATTATGACTGATAAATACGTACATAGTCCATTAGTTACTTAATACAATATGCGTATTAAACAGGATTAACTTATATCGAGTATAACTCGATATAATTAATCCTGTTTAATACGCAGTTTAATAAGTAAAACCTTGGCTTTTATTTAGAAATAAATTTTTATTTTATTTACAGACAAAAATTATATGACAATATTTTTCTTCGTTCGTTCGTATCATTCAAATAATGGCAAAATACGAGGATTTTCTATAAGAAAATGTTTCAATGCCATTAGACAGTTATGTGTTACAAGTATTCATTGCTTCCGTAATTGTTTACCATTAGGCCGGCCGTATATCTCTTTAAAATAATCGTTGCATAAAAAAGTAATTGGTTTGTACAATTTTCATATAAAACAGTGAATACTCACTGCAAAAGTGTTTTATATATCGTACATTTATATATGTTTTTTGTATATGTATATCTTATAGGCTGGCTATGATAATACGATGGCTAATAGCTTATATCTCCTAATACAAACAAAACTTTACCAGACATACAGAAAAAGTTCTAATTCTGATTGGAATATCAAATACGGTAAATACAAAAAGTAAAGTAATTAATATTAGGATAAATTCAAAGTATTGAAATATAAAATATTTTTGTGTGTTTCTAAAATAGAAAAAAATATAAAAGATTCAAAAAATATATGTATGAAAAAATTTTATGTAAAAGTAGAAGATATTAGTAGTTCTACGTTGAAAGCTTATCAAAATATTAGTTTAAAAACACTGCTTACAGTACCTAATCAAATAGTAGATACGCTGTATCACAACAGAATCTAAACCTAACATAGATTCTAGGTAGGTAAATATACTCACCCAGCATGAATCGCTGCCAAGTCTGCAACAAACCATTGTTCAGAGTTGAATCCGAGGATGCAGACAGAGTGATACCTCTCAAGACCAAGTTTCAGGAACGCTTTTGCAATAATCCGCACTTTCTCTCGGTATTGTCTGCAGTAATAAGAGAAAGTCTCGTTATTAATAAACTAGCAACTCGTCCCGCCTTCGCATGGGTATTAATTAAGACACAAAAACCCCATAAAAATATGGAAACCGAAATCAAATTCTTTTCTGTGATTTAAAAAGTAAGCTGATATTTTAGTCCTCAAGCGGAATCATTACAACGCATGGTACCATGTCGCAGTATTGTCTAACAATAGAACATATTCTATGATGTCCATATGTGTTCAAGTTCATAGACAACAATCGATGCTTTCTTTCAGGTAGGCTATTGATTTATTTACTATTCTAGGTTGTATAAAAATACATAATTTTTGTAGTGTTAATAAACAAAAATACCGGCACATTAGGATTAAAATAGTCAAAAAATAAACAAAATGCATGTTTTTCTCGATTCAGACTAAGGTAAAATCAGTGAGTTCGAAAAGAAAATCCACAAAATTTGAGTGTTTTTGAATAATAAAGAATTAAAAATTTATAAGCAAACAATTATAATATGAGTAAAACTTAATATGTATATTGTTTTTTGAGTCCAGATAATTAATGCAATATATTTGCATTAAGTCTAAAGTAGGTATAATGAGATAGTAAGTAATGTATACGTCAAATCTTTTTTATTAATAATTCTTTGTAAACAAATTTATGGTAAATGTACACATCATAGTGTAGTCGTCATCAAATATTGTCACGCCACCTTTAAGATGCTTGTTGCGACCTTGCCAATTAAACTTTGGCCAAGAAAAAACGCTCGTATTTCGAGACGTAAGTATTAACCTAACTCGTTTTAGTTATGCACAATGTATAATTAAGTATAATTACAAGTGTATCCAAATTTTAAGTCAGTTCTAGTAAAAGAAAATTATTAATTCGTTAAATTAAATTATCGTGTACATTTGTTACACTTTCACGCAAAAACTATTTGACAGATTTAAATAAAATTTAGTACACGGATAGGTTACATCCTATCTTAGCATATTGGATACTTTATAAACTGATTCATATGGATGAAGCTGCGGGATACAACTACATTTTCATAGTTACGTTGCGCGATTACTTCGCCAAATCTGTCACTTAATTCCTTATTGCAGTATACAGAATAAAATGTAATAATTAAATTTTTATATCTTATGAATAAAATATTTTTTTCTAGATCGTTCCATTTAACGTACTTAAATACTGAAAAAGAAAATCGTAGGTACATCAACTACTAACTTAAAAATAATTTTACCTACTTACGTATATGTCAGTTTGTGCCATTTTCCATCTTCTTTTTTGGATGCTAATGCTATGCCGTCGGGATATCTGGCGACTGTTTGGTTGAGTAAACCAGGGACTGACAAGGGGCGCTCAGAAGCTATCCCTCGGGGAGCAATTCGGAGTTTTACTACGCCTTCAGGAAATGTCGTTACATAACTGCTCGCAGGAATCACTTGGTCTGGTCCTGAAAGTATAAATTTTTGTTTATTGTTTTGACTGAAATAAATAAGTAGGTATAAATTATAACTTTAAGCATGTAGGAGTAATATCGTAGAGCTTATAAGATTTATTTATTTATACCTACACATGTATATACACGAAGAATAATTAAAAAATCATTCATATGAAAACAATTGCATGTAATCTCATTAATAAAAGACACTTATACCTAAATAATAGTGATGGAAGAGAACTCTTACAGAGTTAAGTTTGCCTGTTGTACATCTTTATTTAGTATAAATTATAAAATTGTATTTTTTTGTGTACAATAAAATATAAGTAAATAAAATATATTTTTTCAAAAAACTTTGATAATAATTTCACAATCACGTGTAGTCTTTGTTTTGTTTAAATAGTAACAAAAAAATCTATTAAGCAAAAACGAGCAGGTTTAATGTACCTAACCAATAGATATTATATGAATATTTTCGTCATCATCGGGTATATCGTCAAAGGTCACATATTATGTTACCTAATGTGTTTTACCAAAAAATATCTGTTCGTATTCTACAAACGTGTATTGACTAAATTAGTAATGTTTTAAAGAAAGAGAACTGTAATAAAATGAATGCGAGCATTTGTGACGCTCACGGCGTTGGAATGTCCGAGTAGAGAAACTGAAATGTCAAGAGTAGGTGACATTTCTGGTCATTGGATACTCTTCAGAAAAGATATGATCTTTATAGGTTACTATGTCAAGGAACAATGTGATACAACATATGATACAACATAGATAACAAAGTATATTTTGTTAAAGTTTGACAGTTTATAAACATAGCTCTACCTAAATCGCAGTGTAAACAAACTGCGGAAATTAAGTTAAACCACAGAATATCTAGTAGTTTAGGTACTGTAATCCTAGATCGGATTGGCGGATGCAATTTGTCAGCTAAAACTGTTATTTATTTTATTATTTTCTTTTTCAAACGACTTCAAAAAGAAGGAGTTTCAATTTGGTTTTTTATGTATGTTACCTTATAACTTTGCCAGTTGCAAACAGATTTGGAAAATACTTTTTTATCTGAAATATTATACTAACAGATTGGTTTCATATAAATTTTATCAAAATTGGTACAGTAGTTTAGTTTTTAAATCAAAATAATTGATTTTACGACATTTGCAATAGTTTTTTTTAGTGGAACACAATTTTAAATTATTATTGTTATAGTAAACAGAACAAAACAGAACAAAACAGAACATACACGATGTCTATGTGTCAAATGCATCGTAAATTGCAGCTACTCTAGAAATGTGTACTGTACTGTGATGTACACTAGAAATATAAAATATACTGAACTGGACCGTAGTTCAGATTATATATATATATATATATATATATATATATATATATATATATACATATTTCGTGTAGTGTCGAAATATCGAAATATAAGAATATAATATATCACCTTTTCATTTTCAGAATGTCAAAGTAATATATAAGTATAAAGAGGCGAAAATTAAAAAAAAACTGTTACAAAGGTAGGTAACCTTGAATGATAAATATGATAGATAGATACTCTTTGTTGTTTCCTCCGAAAGATTGCAATAGTAAACTTATTATAGATACAAACAATTACAAGGAATAATCACAGTGAGGAACCAATGAGCAGTTTTATTGCTAAAAGCTTATTGCACAAATTGAAAAAGTATCATAATTAAGAGACTAAGTTCAAGGGAAGATTACCTAATCCTAAGATCTCTTCCTTTTTTAAATCATGGAACATCCAGCAATATTTGGGTAGATAATAAAATCTATTTCATCAATATAAATAAATTAGTAAATATAGAATGGTCTGGTCAGAATACCAAGCGTATAAATAAATATATATGGATATATATTAGGTATCTGCAAGAAAAACATTGCGTTCGTGCAGCTGGATAAAAATAACATCGTCGTATTTATAGATATATTTATGAACATCATCTGTGGATTGCGAATACGCAGTTCTAATTCATAAATGATAATACTATCTATATATTATATATACAAACTATTATCATTGGTGTATAGTACCTATTATTATTTCTAATATATATAATGTATATCGCATAGTAAAAGTCCATAATAAAATCTGTCTGCAATATCAATATTTTTTTACGAGATACTTGAATTTGTAAAATTGAACAATTTGATGTCGTAAATATATGAAAACAAAAAATCAACTGGTAGATTTTAAAAACGATTTATTTAACGATTATAAATGTATGCACTTGTTGATTTATCAAATCAACACAAAAAATAAAAATACACGCACATCCTTTGTTCAATGCTTGTATTTGTTCTTATAACTAGCTTTTACCCACCACTTCGTCCCCGTGGCTGGGTATGGTATAGGTATAATAAATATATGAATATAAATTCATTAATCGGTACAAAAAATAGCCTATAAAACGTGTATCTATGCTAAACTTTAGAGCGATTCGCAAGCCGTTAAGTTGCTGTAGAGTAACAAACAAACATATTTTCACATTCATAATATTAGTAAAGATTATGCATTATGGCATAGAAAAAAATGTGGCAGCTGTCTTCTTTTACACATGTTAACCTCGCTGAAAATCAATACTTTAAGTGTGGTCTACATAAACAAAGCGACTGACCATTATTTCCTTCTGTTCGTGCCTTTCAACATTTCTTTTTTTCAGACATTACTTTTTTTAAGAAAGTACTATTTATATTGTTATCTACAAGAAGTAACCAGCTAACTAAATATAATATATAAATGTACATATTACACATATGAATCATATGATTAACGATTTCTTTTAACCTCGTTGATGACCGCCCGAGGTTGTAACCCCAAAGCATGTCATTCACGTTAAAATGTTATTCACCCTTAAAAGTTTTTCAGTTAAAGTACACATAAAAACATTCTATTCGAAATAAAATTTAATAAGGTATTTCTTATGTAATACGTCACGCACTAAAAATGTGTTAGGTATACACACGTACCGTCGACATGCTCGCTCGATAGGTAGGTACACATATAAATTATATAAGTACTTGGTACTATCACTATGAAAGTCAAATTATATAAAATAGGTCGCGCAAGGTAAATTTTTGATTGATAATGAAGTATAAACTTGCCATTGATATATGTGTTTCTGTTTCCAACACCGTTTGGCGTCTGCATTGCGTGTACTTTTACTATTTCTTCTCCGTTTTCCACGATGACTGTTGTGTTTTCCTATGGACAAATATAAAAAAAATATGATAAGTAAAACAATTGTTATTAGAAATTATTGTTATTCATTTGTAAAAAATGGTATAAGATATGTATATGCATATGTTAGCATTTGTTCATGAAATCGTAAATTAACTTTAAAGCAAAACACGTGTTTCCACGACTGACACTGGTATCTAGGTAAATTTATTCCAGTTATATAGGTCACGTTACTCTGTTATTTAAATTGAAAATTAAACAGAAGCCTAGCCTTAAATGTACCCAAATAGGTCTTCCTATTTAATTTAATAAATTTTCCTAATATTTTTTTTGTAAATAACGTCTTTTGTCTATAGATATAGATCAGCATGCACAGTGCCCCTCATGATCTCTCATTTGCGCGTTGCTATATTTGTGATATGCATTTGTGTGAAACTCTTAAATACATATATATCATCCATTATGTCCTTTTCTGCCACGATGCAACAGTTGTTGTATTTTTACCTGATAAATAGTCAAAGCAAAAATTTACACCAGGAGTATATTTTTCTTGTTAGGAATGGTGATACACAGTATGTCTATGATAATTATTTATACCTAGACGGCAATTATCACTTTCTATTATTAGATTGATGTTAACTTGTTTGCTACTCCCAATAAGATTTTAAGCATGCATATATATTTCTTGAAATTTTTTATTACATTTATATTAATCGGAATTAAATAAAGTAAAACTGAATTTTGCGTTTTTAATATTAATTTTATTAACTTACTACCTTCCTACTTCGTATGCGTGAATTTCGGAAGTCGAAAATCAATTAAATAAATCACTTCTAGATGGCGTATTAAGATAAAACATACCTACACCAGATTTAAAGTTAGACCTTCAGAAATACCATTGTAAAAGCTGCATCTAATTTGGTGCAGTAGTATTTGCGTGATGTCGGAAAAAAACATTTAGTCAGACAGATAAAACTTCTGATAATAATGAAGATCTTCTCGATAAGCTGGACCGTCTCCTCAACCAAGCCATACGCTTTATCTTCAACCTCCGCAAATTCGATCACATTTCTTTATATCGGTCTCAGCTCAAATGGCTTTCCATTCGTCAACGCAGAAACGTTAGAACTCTTTGTACCCTCTACACTCTTCTTCGAAACCCCCAGTCTCCTAACTACTTAAGGAGTAAATTCCATTATCTTTTTGAAACTCACGATCGTAACCTTCGCTCAAATAATACTCTCCAATTATCTTTCCCCTCTCACCGTACTGGTTACGCTTCAAACTCTTTTCTCCTACATTCTTCACGACTCTGGAACGCGCTTCCTGATGCCATTAAGAGACTACCGACTAAACCATCTTTCAAAAAAAGCGTTAACGCACACTTTTTATTTTTATCCGAGCAGTAAGTACTTTATATTATTCTCAATTTCGTGTATAATATAGTATATGTCATATATGTGTAAGTATATTTGTTATTTATATATATTTATTCGTTTATATATGTAATTCTAGTATGTATGTATATCAATAATTAGTAGTACCGCATTCGAGTATTCTGACACTTCCCTATGGTTGACTGGGAGAGAATGCTTTTAGCATTAAGTCCGCCATGTACACATATTTGTACTAATGAATAAATAAAATAAATAAATAAATAAAAACTTCTAAAAATGATTATTGGTCTTATTGAGGTCTATCATTTTAATTGTTTTTTATATCTCCCATGTACAGATATTGTGTAGTTACATTTTTATTATAGTAGTAAGATAAGATTGAATACAGTTTGTAATTGATTGATTGATTATGTATCATATAGGTACAAAATCTATGTAGGTAATTTAATTGTTAACCACAGACTTCAATAATTATGGCGTATTCATTATAGGAAGAAGCAACCAACTAGCGTGACTTAAATAATTATAATGGCGGAAAAAATGTAGGTTGCCGCAATACGCAATTTTCTTGTTAATGTACCTATGATGCTGCAACATATTTCCGTTCATAGTATGCCTATTTTCATTATAAATATCCTCTATAATATTGTGATTTTTTATGTAAAACATTGGAAAATGTATCTACCACTTTATATATATATATATATATATATATATATATATATATATATATATATATATATATATATATTATATATGTAGACAACGTAGATATTATTCATAATCTTGGTGCATCGATCATTAACAAAAAAGTGAATAATATCGTTCTATCTTAAGAGTTACTCATCTATCTTTAATATTACCAATTAAACAAAAAGTAATTATAATTGTTTACTAAATTAATTTCATTGTTTTACCTTGTTTAGAAATTCAACATATCATATATTTCTATTGTCATACAAAAATTTACAATATAAAAAAACTATTATGAAAAAATTGGCATATTAGAGCTACATAGATGTATATATGTACATACACGTATGCACATTTTAACAAATAATTTGAATAATATCATTGGTTCGTCGATACTGACGTGTTGGTATACGATGTTATCGATAACAAATCATAGGATAGCTACCGTATATTATAATTCTGTATCATAATTTACACACTATTGTGTTGGAATGAAACGAGCTATATATAGTTTATTTTTAAATTCTCTCGTGCAGGTACATTTTAAAATGTGTCGTACTTTTTAAAATGTACCTGAATTAGTTAGTAAAAAGTTATTAGGATTTTTGTTGTAAGAATTTATGCAAAATGCTTATGATTATTATTATTATTCATTATTATTTACTAAAATAAAGCACTGAAAATAATATAAAGCATCGTAATTATTATTATTAATATAGGACTCCCATACATTGCAAGGTCATTTACATTAATATCCGCCGTATACATTACACATGAATAGCAAATATCACAAAATTACAATATTCAAGTAAAAAATGTCAGATATTTAATGTATTATAAGTATATAGAATAAAATTGTACTGTATAGATATTTGGGTAATAGTTATTTTAATTTTTTTTCGTTTTTTGTGATTTGGTTCTGTGATTGTTCTGAGTAAATAAGTTTAGATTTCCGTAAATTATATAAATCTTGTAGATTGGTATCTTTAAATTATTGCAAAAAGGATAAAGTTCTGATTTCGCTTTTTTATTTTACATTAAACGATATATCGGTGTAACAAGCGTATTTATATATAGTAAGTAGGTATTGGACTTATTAACAGCTTATAAGATTTTAGTGTTTAGGAAAATTAGTTTTGCCTTTTAAAGTGCATAAAAATAATGTAGATTGCGTTACCCATCGCTGTGTGTTACACTACATGATATCTACGCAAGCGTGATATTATGTTTTCCGTACTAGTTTTTGTATGGAAAGCGTATCACGCTTGCGTAGACTGTTGCAAAACTGTGATTAAATTATAATAGGTACATATGACGCGAATTAGCCGATTATCTTGTGAGGATAATAATAAAAAATATTAAAAAATAAAAAATAATAAGATAAAATAAAAAAAATAACAGTTATTTTGTCTTTAAATTAATTAATTTATTGAGATAAAATACGCAATATTATAGAAATGTGCATAATGTCATAAAACAATAAATATAAATAAACTTACATAATAAATACTGTATCTATGTTTATTAAACCCTGTATCGATTGACGTAATGTATTTCAACAACAGGGATTTGAGATGGATTATAATGTATATTATAGATAAATATTATCTTTTACAAACATCTTTGACCTTATTGATTTTAGTAGTACTCGTAAGTACATAACTTAGATGTACTAGTGAGTTACACAAAAACTGTTACAAAACTACCACCTGTGTGATAAATACCTACTATGTAATTTCGATTATAATAGAATCTTAATAAATATTAGGCAATAATTCACTCTGGTATCTTGATAAGTATTATTGATATAAGTGAATAAAGTCCAAAAAAGATTGACATGTGCAGCTGGGTTAAGCTTATTGCGATAATGGTTACTTTTATTACAAAAATCATATTTAATTGAATTTGATCCATTAAGCGTATTAAGAACCTACATCAAAATTTGATCGAATAGGTTCTCAACCTACTCGTTTTTTTAAGGCGGTTAAAAATAATGTCACGTAAACTGTAAGTAGATGTACATAAAAACTATCACACACATCATTACACTTGGTCAAGAAATTGATATAGAATCTTCACGTATATCACTTTTTAAGTATCTTATTTATTTATACTTAATTACTCAATAAAATAAAACACAATAAAAGACCAATAACAAGGCGAATTTACTTGCAATGCTACTGGCATTGTCCACTAGTTAACCTTTTGGATGTGTAAAGATATTTGATGGCGATTTGTACCCAATTAATACAAAATTATTTCATAATCCAAGGGTTATCAAAGTGCAAAAAGCGAAAGAGATATTATCTTACATCAAGTCCAGCTTCTCAAACTTAATAAACATGCTTGATATATATATGACATAGGCACTGTTATCTAAGGTCCGATTTAATATCTATGAATATAGACAATTGTATAGGTTAGGTACATCAAAAATTTATAATTTATCTACAACTTTAGTTCATCGGTAATACATTTGTTATTTATGTACCTAAGTAAATTAAGAAAAAATCTTCGTTATCTCTATGTCTGTAAGTTCTAAATACCACGTGATTTCATACAATATCACTCTATTGCATAAATCTTATTATTTACTCAACTGATTCAGATGAAATATATACACAATTACAATTTTGTTAAGCTGTACTAATAGATATTTACATAAACCAAAAATTTCGTTGCTATTCATTGCTTCGCTTTTAAATTTTACTAATCAATTTAATGACTCAGGTATAATTTTTTTTTTATTCTTTGTGCATAAAGTACCTACATACTAGAATATACTAAATTTTCCTGTACGCGATTACGTGTGTGGTTAAATATTACAGTTCTTCGTTTAATATTATCTACAAATATTATTTTCTGATAATGTTTTGGTATAATCTAATCTAACATTAACTCATCGATAATTATTTTTTTAATGTAACCTTTGAT